TAATGATCTTGTAGGAGGCAGAGCTGACAGACAAAGGGGAACTCACAGAAGCCCCTTGCTAGCTTACAAAAAAAGAAAAAACCCTACAGGCGTTTCCGCTTTTCCAGCAGAGTCCAGATGTTAAGCCCCAACAGTGCGAAATAAGTTATAAGACATCTGGGAAGAGTGTGGTCTGCGAGAGACCATCTCTCTCTCCCAGCTTTCAACTAAAGCTAAATAAAAATCAGTTCAACGGGCACAGGATTCTCCCGATTCCCAAACAAATCGCTTTTGAGATCTTCCGAGCAAATCCCGTTGACGGACCCCTAAAAAAACACGTCACTTTGAGATCAGGGTTCGTAAATGGAATTCAGGCCGGAAAACACGACGGGAGAGATGCGCTAAGATCGGCACATGTCTCAAACTGTCCGCACAAAGCCAAGCCAGCCTTCTCCTGCTCCATTCATCGGCCCAAACCTCCAGGTTGGCGGCCTTGCTCCTACCTCCAGTGGCAGGCAGTTCCACAGTTTAACTCCGCAAAGAAACCCTTCCTGAATCTTCCAAACGTCAGCTTTATCGGATGGCCACAAATTCTAGTGTTAGGAGAGAGGCAGGAAAACTCTTCTCTGTCCTCTTTCTCTACGCCGGGATTAATTTTAAAGCACAAAGAGGGCCCCTTGTTGAAAACAGCTGTATCTCCTGCACTACAAGGGGGCTGGACTAGATAGCTCTGTGGGTCCCTTCCAATTTGGTCCCTTCCGTATTTGGTGCCAGCCACCCCACAGTGGCGGCGAACATAAGGAGGGTTGCACATCTTTGGCGATCCCTCGTAGCCGAGTAAGATTGTCTTCCACAAACACGGTTTTAACAGTGAGTCCGTAAGTGACTGTGGAGGCCAATTCTGGATCCCCACATCCTTCCACAGTGGGGACATTGGTTTCCGGGCAGGAGTTGATCCCGGTGAGGGTTTGCCAAGCATGCCTTCCTCTTGGCACGTTTCTCCCTTGCGTCCTGAGTTCGAGTGTCTTCACCTTTGGTCAAGGCTGTTCTCCAACTGGAGCACTCACAGGCCAGTGTTTCCCAGTTGTCAGTGTTTATACTACTTTTTTTAGATTTGCCTTGAGAGAGTCTTTGAACCTCTTTTGTTGACCACCAGCATTACACTTTCCATTTTTAAGTTCAGAATAGAGTAGTCGCTTTGGAATACGATCACACAACATGACCAGTCCAACAAAGATGATGTTGAAGAATCACCGCTTCAACACTGGTGATCTTTGCTTCTTCCAGTACACTGGCATTAGTTCGCCTGTCTTCCCAAAGTGATGTGTAACATTTTTCGGAGACACCGTTGATGGAATCTTTGAAGGAGTTGGAGATGGCGTTTATAAGTGGTCCGCGTTTCACGAGCATACAGTAAGGTTGGCAGCACAATAGCTTTGTAAACAAGCATTTTGGTTTCCCTGCCTAAGATAAAACAGGCAGCCATGCGCTTCCATGCGCAGAGTGCATTCTCCGGACAGAGGAGATATTTTCACTGTCGAAATGGCGGGTCTCCCCTGCCGATTCTGCACCGACTTGTGGGACCAACTCAGTTTTAAGAGTCAGTTAAGAGGAGACGATTGCACGCAGGGAGGAAGATTTTACTTCCTGGCTCGGACGGAAGTGTACCATTCGAGAGCTGCATGGCGCACAGAAAGTCCCTGTAAGTGGTTTGTTTAATTTTAGCTTCGGCCACGAACCGGTTTAAGAAACGGGCCCAGAGACGGGAGTTTGCTTCCCTGCTCAGGTCCACATGCAAATGTCTCTAACCGACACCTCAAGGTCTTTTCTCTGCAAACATCCATCTGTCCAATTGTTGGATTAGACGGGCGACGATGTGAGAATTTGCAGAGCGGGGAGGGGGGGTGTTGCGCGACCTTGCGGGTGACTTTTTAATATATTTCTCCAGACCTCTAATAACGTTGTAAATCATTGCCTAACTGAGATTCCCCCAGGAAAGGAAGAAAAGAACACACACCCAGGGGCAGTTCCAACATTCCGTCACACCTTTGCGTGACCAATAAACCCAGGACCGGAGAGGTGGGGCTCCGCAAACTAGTTGGAGGGTCACCTTTAAACTCCGTCACCGAAGCAAGCAACTAAGAGTCGCCCCTATGGAGAAATGCGAAAAGGATAATTGGAGTTGAAGGAAGTCCCATTCGCCACTTTTAAAAATGTGCATTTCCTCTGTCTTAATACAGTGCTACCTCGGGTTAAGAACTTAATTCGTTCCGGAGGTCTGTTCTTAACCTGAAACTGTTCTTAACCTGAAGCACCACTTTAGCTAATGGGGCCTCCCGCTGCCGCCACGCCGCCGCTACACGATTTCTGTTCTCATCCTGAAGCAAAGTTCTTAAGCTGAAGCACTATTTCTGGGTTGGCGGAGTCTGTAACCTGAAGCGTATGTAACCTGAAGCGTATGTAACCTGAAGCGTATCTAACCCGAGGTACCACTGTATGTAGATAAGAGACTGCACTCCCCATGGCCACAGAGATATCTACTAGTTGGCAGTGGGGGACTCTGTTTATTCTACGCTGTGGCGAGCCACACAGCACACACACACACACCCCGGATTATCTCAAAGTTTCCTGCCTCAGAAGGACATCGGAAGAGTCTAGCTCAGGGGTCAGCAAACTTTTTCAGCAGGGGGCCGGTCCACTGTCCCTCAGACCTTGTGGGGGGGCGGACTATATTTGGGGGAGGTGAACGAATTCCTCTGCCCCACAAATAACCCAGAGATGCATTTGAAATAAAAGGACACATTCTACTCATGTAAAAACACGCTGGTTCCCGGACCGTCCGCGGGCCGGATTTAGAAGGCAATTGGGCCGGATCCAGGCCCCGGGCCTTAGTTTGCCGACCCATGGTGTAGCTGTTGGACCCCCAATTCCAGCATTTTGCTCTCAAATGGCGAAAACCCCGTGACCGATTTCTAGCAGCTGACAGTCAGAGGCATTTATTGCCGCGGACAGAGGAATGAGAACAGAAGTCACCATTAATAGCTTTATCCTGCACGGTTGGTGTATGGAACCCATTTAGAGTGGCCAGAATCGTTGTTTAAGTCTCTGCAACACCAACACACACACACACACACACACACACGACAACAGCCAATTGACTCCTTGGCTGGAACACTTTTAACTCCAAAAACTCCTCACCCCAAGAAATAGGTGATAATCAAATGGGAAGGAGAGGTTCCCTGCTGCCTCTCTGCATGATTCACAGAGCCAAAGGACCTCCCCACCCCCAAGAAATAGGTGAGGATAATCAAACGGGAAGGAAAGGGTCCCTGTCGCCCCTCTGAATGATTCAAAGAGCCAAAGGACCTCCTAACTCCCAAGAAATAGGTGAGGATAATTAAACGGGAAGGAGAGGGTCCCTGTCGCCCCTCTGAATGATTCACAGAGCCAAAGGACGTGGCTCCTGGCCTTGTGGGCAAGCAGACCTCCCCAGCTCAAGACACAGCCGCTCCTCGCCTCCTCCAAGAAGGAATCGTCTCCTTCCAAGGAGTCGTCGCCCCCCTGAGAACAGAGACTCACGCAGGAGAACGCCCCAACTTTTTACATATAAAAAAAATAAGTAAAACCACTGCTTTTGGGATCTGCCCGCTTCTCTGTTATTTTAAAAAAACGAGGGTGCCCACATAGTGCTAACCGCCGACTTCCTGTCTTGGCAAGTTTGGGCCGGGTGTCCTTTGAGGAAACTTTTCAACTCTAGGATATTCTAGGTGATAAAGATCATTTCAGAGAAGAAAAGAGAGGGAGCGGCTGATAGGTTTTGAAAATAAAGAGTTGGTTAAAGCTGAGAAGGTTGTGGTGGTTGTGTTGTTTTTAAAAAATAAAGAGAGTCATGCTCTTATCAGAGAGGGTGTGTGAATCAGCCACCGAGGCCTTTAGAATAATCCAGTATGTACATTTAATTTCCCCCTCACCCAAGAGTTTAAAATAGCTTGTGTGTGGAGGGAGAGAGGCCACTACGTATATAAAAAAAAACATTAACAGAGGAAGGATACAAACCTGTACATATATATATATATAATTTGCACGTATGCAAACCTTTTGCAAATAGATCTTTTAAAAAAGCACACATAGCAAGCCGCACATTTTCTGCAAATTATCCCCCATGGCCATTGCAAATCTAATAATAGTAATAGCAGCATATTGGGCCTAAACTCTGCATAGGAAAGGAAACAGGGGGGTGGGCTGTCTAAAATAATTGTGCCCAGAAGGGGGTGGGGTCGACAGGAGAGGTTTAGGTGTGTGTGTGTGTGTGACGCCTCCCTTCCCCCAGCTTAATCACATCAGATAAATTTGATGTGAAATGTGCTTTTCTTAAAAAACCAAAAAGCCAGCCACAGGGACAGTCTTAAGGAACAATATTTGGGGGGGCGTAGCTCCATTAGAGCTTCCACACTCAAAGTCCCTTCCAAGCAAAGCTACACTTTCAATTTTTTAAAAAAATATATATACAAACCAATACAGTATTAATTAAAATATCGCATGATCTTAGCCGATCTTTTAATGCACGCTCGCCTCCCGTTTCTCAGAACCTCCTGGAGAGCAGACCCCCCCCTTTAGTAAAAGCCTAACTTCGGCGGGTCTACTCTTGTGTAGGATTCAGCTCCGCGATCACTGCGCGCTTGCAACTTAAGCTTGGCAAAAATGTATCCAGAGACACGGACACGTTTTCTGGGCTTCGTTTAGGAAGTTATTAGCCAACAAGCTAAGAAACATTTTAACTTGGGTAAATAAACATCCGAACCCATTGCGAGAAAGTATCGCTTTTTTGAAAAAATACAAATAGATAAATGTTGGCACGACTTGGCCAAACACGCGCCCGCGCGTATTTACGCACGGCACCCTACAACCCCAGCTTTGGAGGCGGAGGAGGGGGCTGGGGGGGAGAGGAAAACACACACATACACCCCCCACCAATTCGCAAATTCTTATTTAGCAAGTTGCAAAAGAAAATAGGGTCTTACCCTGCAAAGGCGGCGGCTGGAGCAGCTTCATTTTTCTCCCTTTCTCTTTTCCTTCCAAAGGCTAAAATAATAAAATTACGCACGCCCTCCGCCCAAGCAAGTGATCCAAGAAAAGGGAGGGGGGAAAACCACCTTTCCAAGAGACCGGTCCTTATTGATCCGTCGCCGTTTGCCCTTGCCCTGCGCGCCCGCGCAAGCTGCGCCTCCCTTGTTTTATTTCAGCGCAGCCAGCTTCTTTTATCGCGCTCCCATCTGCAAGTTTCCTTTTACAAGCGAGGAGGCCATGGCGGCTGCGGCTGGCTGGCTCCTTTTTGCCACCACCTCCTCCTCCTCTGGGTCGCTGGGTGCCTAAGGCGTGCTCAGCTCAGGGGAGACAAATCATAGGATGACAAAATAGCAATCAGATGCAAATTCCTAACCTCTGAATCAGGGCCCGGACACCGGAGAGGGGTTGGGATCCGGGGAATCGAGGGGACGTCGCGCAATTCCGCTCCTCGCGGAAGGAGCGTGTGCGCGAGAGAGGGAAAGGGTTTTGTGGAAATCCGAAGGCTGTCTATTTTTCTCTTACTTTTTTTTTAATTAATTTTGTTGTTACTAGTATAAAAGTGGGGAATCCGTGGAAGGGAAACTGGGTCGATCTCAGGAAAAAATCTTTAAGCTAATTGATCGATGTATATAAGTTAAAAGTTGATATATAAATTGAACTAATTGCTATAACAAATCACGGTTAGAATTTTGGGATAAGAACTTGTTGGATAAACATTTGGACATGGAATACAAGAAGGGGAGGTGAGGGGAAGTTCTGGAAAGAAGGTATTGAAAATGTGGAATACAATGAATGTTTGTTTGTTTGTTTTTTTCTTTTTATTTTCTGTATTATTCGAAATTCTAATAAATATTATTCAAAAAAAAGAGAGAGAGAGGGAAAGGGTTTTGCAACTTCATTTCCAGCGCGCAAGGTTTTAGTCCTCAAGGTGAAGCTTCTTTTGGGCGGCGGGAATGCGCTTAAAAATAGCAAACGCGCGCAGACCGGGAGCTACAGGTCCCAGCACCCTTGGCACGCTGAGGCTTCCAGAGCCCCGGAAAAACTGCAGTTCCCGGCACCCTTAACAAACGACAGTTCTCGGAACGCTTAAACTACAATTCCCAGAGCCCCGGAGAAACTGCAGTTCCCGACGCCTGTAACAAAACGCAGTTCTCAGAATGCTTAAACTACAGTTCCCAGCTCCCTTGGCACGCTGCGGCTTCCAGAGCCCCAGAGAAACTGCATTTCCCGACGCCCTTAACAAACTGCGGTTCTGGGAACGCTTAAGCTACAGTTCCCAGAGCCCCGGAGAAACTGCAGTTCCCGATACCTGTAACAAAACACAGTTCTCAGAATCCTTAAACTACAGTTCCCAGCTCCCTTGGCACGCTGCGGCTTCCAGAGCCCTGACGGAACTGCAGTTCCCGGCGCCCTTAACAAACTGCGGTTCTGGGAACGCTTAAGCTACAGTTCCCAGAGCCCTGAAGAAACTGCAGTTCCCGACGCCTGTAACAAAACGCAGTTCTCAGAATGCTTAAACTACAGTTCCCAGCTCCCTTGGCACGCTGCGGCTTCCAGAGCCCCAGAGAAACTGCGGTTCCCGACGCCCTTAACAAACTGCGGTTCTCTGAACGCTCAAGCTACAGTTCCCAGAGCCCTGAAGAAACTGCAGTTCCTGGCGCCCTTAACAAACGGCAGTTCTCAGGACCCTTAAACTACAGTTCCCAGAGCCCAGAAGAAACTGCAGTTCCTGGTGCCCTTAACAAATGGCAGTTCTCAGAACGCTTAAACTACAATTCCCAGAGCCCTGACGGAACTTCAGTTCCTAGCACCTTTAACAATCTACAGTTCCCAGCTCTCTTGACATGCCCTGGTTTCCAGAACCCTTAACCACAGTCCTCAGCGCCCTGAAGCAGCGCCCAGCACCCTTAAACTACAGTTTCCAGTATCCTTGGTTGGGGGCGCCTTAAATGTGCGGTGCGGCTAGCGACGTGGCAAAGCCAGGCTCACATAGATCCCAAATTAAGGGCAGCTCTAAGCAGGAAGGTGGAGAGGCAGTGCGGCCTGGTGGTTAGACTGCCAGACTGGGACCTGGGTTCAAATCCCCCGCTGGGCTATGAAGCGCAGCGGTTGACTTCTGGGTCACTGCTCTGCTTGCAGCCAGCAGGGCCAATGGTTATTCATCCATAGTTGTATTCATTCAGCTTGTTTTTATTATTGTTAGCCGCCCTGAGCCCAGCCTTGGCTGGGGAGAGCGGGGTATAAATAAAAATTATTATTATTATTATTATTATTATTATTATTATTATTATTATGACAATGGTCCCATGTTGTGTTGTACTGTTGTACAATGTTGTGTTGTTGCGTTGTACTGTTTTATTGTTGTTAGCCGCCCTGAGCCCGGCTTCGGCTGGGGAGGGCGGGATATAAATACAATTTATTATTATTATTATTATTATTATTATTATTATTATTATTATTTCCTCCAGACGGCCTACGTGGTCGTTTTAATTTCCCCGTGGGTGAGTTTAAGGGCTGAGCAGGGAGCAGCGGAGGGGCAAGGATTCGAAACCTTCAGTCCCAGTCCAGTGCTCTAACCACTAGACCACACTGCCCCCCAATTGGAGTCCAAAAACAGCCACAGATGCCCCATATTCTCTGACTCTCTGAGATTGCCAACTGTCCCCTTTCTCTCCCTTGTGCAAAATAAAAAAGGGGGGGAAGACCATGAAAAAATGTGACATTTTTGGTTCTTTGCAGACACTCCCTAGAAGTCCTGGCAAAGTCAGTTCCGCTTCTCTCTCTCTCTCTCTCTCTCTCTCTCTCTCTCTCTCTATTTAAAGGAGCCGCATCCCTTTTTCCACCCAACTTCCGCCCCCTCCCGCAGCTTCAAAATTTCCATTAATACCTAACTAACCAACCCCATAATTGGAATTGCATTAAGTAGATAGGTTTGTTTTTATATCGTGAAAATAGAACGGGAGGAAAAGTGAATTGTGCAAAGGAAAGGAATAGGATAGGCTGGAAAAGATCAAAGGAAACAAAGATTATTATTTGGGTTCTTTAAAACAAAAACAAAAAAAAGTGCCCCCACCCCTTGGATTTCAGAACAAATATGTCTTTTTTAAAAAATAAAAAAATACCCAAACATTATAATGCAAGGAGCCGTAGTGATAATGCAGGGAAATCCTACTCAGAGTAAGCTTATTGGAATGAATGGACCTGAATTAGTTGTGTCCTTTGATTTCCTGGATAATTCCTAGTTAGGGGGAGGGATTGGTTTGTTTCTGTTCTTGTTTTTATTAAGTATTTTGTGTTGTTGTTTTATTCCACAAATCCCACATCAAAATCCGATACGTAAGTTTTTCCCCTTTTGTATTATCAGCTTCCCATCCCATTTCCTAGAATTTTTTTTCTTTTCCACCCTTAACTGCAACTTATCTTCCCTCTTTTATATCATAATTCTAATGCTCTATTGGAATTAATACAGGTGGAAACCCAGCTGGATGGGCGGGGTAAAATAAGATAATAATAATAATAATAATAATAATAATAATAATAATAATAATAATAATAATTATTTGTGTTTTTATCTTGTATGAAAGATAAAACTCCGGCCAACCTAGCAGTTCAAAAGCACATCAGAGTGCAAGTAGATAAATAGGTACCACTCCGGCGGAAAGGTAAACGGCGTTTCCGTGCGCTGCTCTGGTTTGCCAGAAGTGGCTTAGTCCTGCTGGCCACATGACCCAGAAGCTGTACGCCGGCTCCATCTGCCAGTAAAGTGAGATGAGCGCCGCAACCCCAGAGTCGTTCGTGACCATATAACACCGGTCCTGAAAGACTTACATTGGCTCCCAGTACGTTTCCAAGCACAATTCAAAGCGTTGGTGCTGACCTTGAAAGCCCTAAATGGCCCAGTAGACCTGAAGGAGCGTCTCCACCCGCTACGTCCAGCCCGGACACTGAGGTCCATCTCTGAGGGCCTTCTGGTGGTTCCCTCGCTGCAAGAAGCCAAGTTACGGGAAACCAGGCAGAGGGCCTTCTCGGTGGTGGCGCCCGCCCTGTGGAACGCCCTCCCATCAGATGTCAAAGAGATAAACAACTACCAGACTTTTAGAAGGCATCTGAAGGCAGCCTTGTTTAGGGAAGCTTTTAATGTTTGGTGCTTTACTGTATTTTAATATTTTGTTGGAAGCCGCCCAGAGTGGCTGGGGAAGCCCAGCCAGATGGGCGGGGTATAAATAGTAAATTTGTTGTTCTTGTTGTTGTTGTTTTCCAAGGAGCTCATTACATGCAACCTGTCCGCTTAGTTTATCCTCACAGCAACCCAGTGAGGTATGCCTGGCCTGAAAAGATTGTTGCACACACACACACCTTGGTTTCATGGCAGATTGGAGATTTGAACCCAGATCTTATCAGACATTTAACAACTGGTGCCAAACCCATGTTGTGCCAAGAGAGAGCCCTTCAGGGCTTATAGAAATCCTACCGACAGGAAGGGAAGTTGGCACAGGAAAGGGAATGAAGGGATATATATATAAAAAAATCATTAAGTAAACAAGAAATACCGGTTTGTTTCTTTCTTCTTTCGCAGTAAAAAAACGATAACAACTGCCCAAAGCTCTGCAAAACTCCACTGCAAAGTACTTTAGATTTTGAAAGGCCCTTTTGATTAATCTAGCCAGGCATGTGTAACAAGACAAGAATCCAATATCTCTACTCAGACCAGGTCTCTCCACAGTTTTAAGTTTAGGAAATAAGTTCTTAATTCAGCAACTTCTCTTTCCAGTCTATTTCTGAAGTTCTTTTGTAATAAGACAGCTGCTCTGAGATCCCTGTATTGAATGTCCTGAGCCACAGGGATGTCCAAAGTCCGTTTCGGGGGTCTAATCTGGCCCGCTGGTCAGTTTAATGCAGCCCCCGTGGCAGTTGTTTATCTCCTGAGGTAAGGTAAAGGTGATGTATGGAAGTGAGAGCTGGACCATCAAGAAGGCTGATTGCCGAAGAATGGATGCTTTTGAATTCTGGTGCTGGAGGAGACTCTTGAGAGTCCCATGGACTGCAAGAAGATCAAACTTCTCCATTTGGAAGGAAATCAGCCCTGAGTGTTCACTGGAAGGACAGATCCTGAAACTGAGGCTCCAAGGCTTTGGCCACCTCATGAGAAGAGAAGACTCCCTGGAAAAGACCCTGATGTTGGGAAAGATGGAGGGCACAAGGAGAAGGGGACGACGGAGGACGAGATGGTGGGACAGTGTTCTCCAAGTGACCAGCATGCGTTTGACCAAACTGCGGGAGGCAGTGGAAGACAGGAGGGCCTGGCGTCTTTTCCAGGGGTCTTTTCCAGGGAGTCTTCTCTTCTCCTGAGGTGGCCAAAGTCTTGGAGCCTCAGCTTCAGGATCTGTCCTTCCAGTGAGCACTCAGGGCTGATTTCCTTCCGAATGGAGAGGTTTGATCTTCTTGCAGTCCATGGGACTCTCAAGAGTCTCCTCCAGCACCAGAATTCAAAAGCATCCATTCTTTGGCGATCAGCCTTCTTGATGGTCCAGCTCTCACTTCCATACATCACTACTGGGAAAACCAGAGCTTGAACTATACGGACCTTTGTTGGCAAGGTGATGGTCTCTGCTTTAATGAGGTAGCAACCCTCAACGCCTACAGGACAAATATTGGGTCCATTCTGACAAATATTGGGTCCATTCTCTCACTTCTGACCCTTCTTGATTCCCTCATATCAGGGGGTTGGACTAGATGACCAACGAGGTCCCTTCCAATTCTCCAATTCTCTCGTCTACAATTCTGACAGGTTATACCAATAATACCAACTGCATTTTCCCAGTTGACGTATTTTATTTTATTTTAAGGAAAGGTGTGGGGGTTTGCTTTTGGCTATTTGGAGATTTTTGTTTGGAAATCCTGACATCCAGTGGATGATGATTGCATGACAGCTGAAGTTACACTCGCACCGTAACACTTCAATGCCACATGGTACCTTTGCCTGTTTCCCCCAAAGGATTCTGGGAGTTGTAGTTTGTTAGCAGAGGTCCTGAAAGCCCTTTGGAGATCCTTAATCTCCACCCAGACCAACCCTTCTGTTTCAAGAAGCAATGGAGTGCACATCCGCGGGTGAAATCAAACATTTTCAGCAGGCGCTGAAAAGAAAACAAAGGGGGGGAAATAGATAGCTTAGGCCTGGAAGTTTGACATTTGTAACATATCTCAGGCCCGTAAATTAACGTTACCAGACGTCCCCGTTGCCTGGGGACAGTCCCCGGATTTACAAATCTTTTTTTTTATTTAATGATATTTATTAAAAGTTTAATAGTTACAGAAAAAAGAAAAAAGAGACAATAAAAAGTTACAATACATCAAAAATAAAAAGAAAAACAAGAAACAATACAGCAAAACAATAAGAAAACAAAAACACTTAAAAACGCATCCAATATTTCCGTATCTTTACTTTTCATTTACTTGTTTCATCGACCTCCTCACACCTCCCTTTTTTGTATTCTAGTTCAATTAGCTATTTCAGCAAATCCTTTCCATCTTTCTCAATTTTTGTTCTATAATTTATCTTAGCACAATCTAACCTTAAGTTTCCCACTTTGGCCCATTAACAATCTATTTTTACTTAATTCTTTTTAACATTTCTGCTAATGCCATATAACTTCATTCCAGCATCCTTCTAACATTCATTAATTTTGCAATATTTCTGTAAATATACTTTAATTTTTTTCCAATCTTCTTCCACCAACTCTTCTCCCTGGTCTCGGATTCTGCCAGTCATTTCCGCCAATCAGTCCCCGGATTTACAAATCAGTCCCCTGAGAAAATCCATCCATTTCGACCAAAGTTGAAAAGTATCCCCAGATTCACTGGGGAAAAAATCTGGTAACCTTGCTGTAAATTTACATTTGTTATCTCAGGCCCTTTATTTTAGAGTAGAGTATATAGATTTTAGGGACGTGGGTGGCGCTGTGGGTTAAACCACAGAGCCTAGGACTTGCCGATCAGAAGGTCGGCGGTTCGAATCCCCGCAATGACGGGTGAGCTCCCGTTGCTCGGTCCCTGCTCCTGCCCACCTAGCAGTTCGAAAGCACGTCAAAGTGCAAGTAGATAAATAGGTACCACTCCGGCGGGAAGGTAAACGGCGTTTCCATGCACTGCTCTGGTTTGCCAGAAACGGCTTAGTCCTAATAAAGCGAGATGAGCGCCGCAACCCCAGAGTCGGTCACGACTGGACCTAATGGTCAGGGGTCCCTTTACCTTTACATAGATTTTAATTGTAGATGGTTAGGTGTGTTTTTGTAAACATGGGATATAAATCTGTAAAAGCAATCAGTCAATACAGTTTTATATTTTAGAAAGAAAATATGTGTGTCATTAAAATAAATAAATGAATAAAGCATTGTGTTCATGCCTGATGTGAAAGGGCAGGCAGTTCCAAAGTTGTAACTATTGTGCAAATTTTGTTTTTTGTTGGTATAAATAAGGAAGCGTTCGTTTTTGCAATCGGCATTGACCCCAATACAGTGTATCGTTGTTGCTGCACACAAAGCACAGCGCTAAGGCTTTAGGCCAGGCACCCCAACCTGCGGCCCTCCAGATGTTTTGGGACTACAACTCCCATGATCCCTAGCTAACAGGACCAGTGGTCAGGGATGATGGGAGTTGTAGTCCAAAACATCTGGAGGGCCGAGTTTGGGGGTGCCTGCTCCAGATGTTTTGGGACTACAACTCCCATGATCCCTAGGTAATAGTAACAGTGGTCAGGGATGATGGGAATTGTAGTCCAAAACATCTGGAGGGCCGAGTTTGGGGGGTACCTGCTCCAGATGTTTTGGGACTACAACGCCCATGATCCCTAGGTAATCGTAACAGTGGTCAAGGATGACGGGAATTTTAGTCCAAAACATCTGGAGGGCCGAGCTTGGGGGTGCCTGCTCCAGATGTTTTGGGACTACAACTCCCATGATCCCTAGGTAATCGTAACAGTGGTCAGGGATGATGGGAATTGTAGTCCAAAACATCTGGAGGGCCGCAGGTTGGGGATGCCTGCTTTAGATTATTGCAGGATACATCTGAGTTCCAATAGTTCCTCCCTTTCTTTCTTTTTTCTTTTCCTTCTCCTCCTGCAATGAGGCTACATTTTAATATTTTAATGTTCCACTATTTTAATGTTGTATTTTATTTTTGTTTTTAAGTTGTAATCATTCATCTTGTTTTTATTATTGCTTGTAAGCCGCTCTGAGCCCGGCCTTGGCTGGGGAGGGCGGGGTATAAATAATAATAATAATAATAATAATAATAATAATAATAATAATAATATAATTATTGATTAGCTGCCTTTGCTTAAGGCTAGTTTGCATTCCAGCAATTCTGTCCCAACCGAGACACCGTAGCCTCCCTTGCTTTCTCCTTTCATAGAGATAAGAAAAATCAAGACTTGCTCACCTTACTTTACCCCTATAGTATTTCCTCGCCCACGCGAGTGAGGAACCCGGGGCAACCCCCGATGCCACTGGATAGAATAAGGCTTTTATATTGTTTGGGCTTAAGTCATGGCCCTCCTTGGCTCCGCGTGAAGCTTCTTCCTTCCCACGTGAATCCCGGAACTCCGTCCCCGCGTGCGAGTCTACAAGAAAAGTCTATGTTCTTGCCTCTCTCTTTCCCCAGGCGCCCGCAAGCCGACGCGGCCGCAGTGGCCGACGGGAGTTGCAGTCCGGCCTCCCGCGTCGCCCTATGAGGGGAGCCGCCTCGAGGACTACGACTCCCAGAGTCCACCGCGGCGAAGCGGAGGAAAAGAGCGAAGGGCGGCGTTGGGCGGCCGTCCCGTGACCGGCCGCGGTGGCCGACGGGAGTTGCAGTCCCGCCTCCCGCGTCGCCCTATGAGGGGAGCCGCCTCGAGGACTACGACTCCCAGAGGCGCACCGCGGCGGAGCGGAGGGCCGGGGGAAAAGAGCGAAGGGCGGCGTGGGCGGCGGCGGCAGATGCTGGCCGAGGCGTCGGCGGAGGTAACGGACCCGGAGCCGCGGCTCCCGCTTCTCAAAACGCCCTCCGGCCCGGGGACGCCGCTGATTGGCTGGCTGGGGAGGAGGGGGCGGGGCTTGCACCAGGAGCCCGGGCAAAGGGCGCGTGTTGCACGCCCGGCGCGTGTGCAAGGGGGGGGGCTGGGCTGGGAGCTCCCAGGGTATTGCAATTCCTCTTTGCAAGGGAGAATTGCATTTGCTTCAGTTGGTTTTGCAAAGGGGTGCATTTTGAGTTTGCTGTGCAACAGTTGATTGGGGTATGTAAATAATATTTATTTTTGTTGTTGTCATTATTATCATTGTTCCTGTTATTATTTTTGCGCAGTTATATTGGTTAGATTTGACTTTGCAGCAATAATTGCTTTTGCTTTAGTTGGCTTTGTAGTTGTGCGTTGAGTTTGCTGTGCAACAGTTGGTTTGGGGTATTTAATAATATTTATTATTGTTGTTGTAATTATTATTCCCATTGTTGTCATTTTCGTTGTTACCGTTCTTAGTTGGTTTTGTAGCAGTGCATTTGCTATGCAACAGTTGGTTTTGCTATGTTTTTATAATAAATATTTATTATCCTTATCATTGTTAGAAGCCCATAGAATCGTGCAATTATATTGGTTAGATTTGACTTTGCAGCAATACAGTGGTTTACCTTCCCGCCGGAGCGGTACCTATTTATCTACTTGCACTTTGACGTGCTTTCGAACTGCTAGGTTGGCAGGAGCAGAGACCGAGCAACGGGAGCTCACCCCATCATTGCGGGGATTCGAACCACCGACCTTCTGATAGGCAAGTCCCAGGCTCTGTGGTTTAACACACAGCGCCACCCGCGTCCCTCTAACCTGAGGAACTACTGTATAGCAAAAATAAAATAGTCCTTTTAAAACAGATTTAACTGAAATGGCGTTTCCTGATCATGCCGTTTTCCGGGTGATGGGTGTTTCCTTGGCTTTTGCTTACCTCGGCAAGGGATGTTTTTCATTCATCCGAGATGGCAGGAAACTAGGATATCTCAAATAGACCTTTCCTTTCCTTTTTTAAGCAGAAAAACAGTTGTGATGGGAAGGCGATGCTTGGCAGCTACATCGGCGAGCGGTTTACGCAGGGGTAAACACTCAATATGTTGACACTCAATATGCCAGCAAGTTTGGAAAACTCAGCAGTGGCCAGAGGATTGGATAAGATCAGTCTACATCCCAATCCCAAAGAAGGGCAGTGCCAAAGAATGCTCCAACTACCGCACAATTGCGCTCACTTCACACGCTAGCAAGGTTATGCTTAAAATTCTACAAGGAAAGGCTCAAGCAGTATGTGGATCGAGAATTCCCAGAAGTGCAAGCTGGATTTAGAAGAGGCAGAGGAACCAGAGACCAAATTGCAAACATGCGCTGGATTATGGAGAAAGCTAGAGAGTTCCAGAAAGACATCTACTTCTGCTTCATTGACTATGCAAAAGCCTTTGACTGTGTCGACCACAGCAAACTATGGCAAGTTCTTAAAGAAATGGGAGTGCCTGATCACCTCATCTGTCTCCTGAGAAATCTCTATGAGGGACAAGAAGCTACAGTTTTCCCAGCAGTGATGTATGGAAGTGAGAGCTGGACCATCAAGAAGGCTGATGGCCGAAGAATTGATGCTTTTGAATTCTGGTGCTGGAGGAGACTCTGGAGAGTCCCATGGACTGCAAGAAGATCCAACCTCTCCATTCGGAAGGAAACCAGCCCTGAGTGCTCACTGGGAAGGACAGATCCTGAAGCTGAGGCTCCAAGACTTTGGCCACCTCAGGAGAAGAGAAGACTCCCTGGAAAAGACCCTGATGCTGGGAAAGATGGAGGGCGCAAGGAGAAGGGGACGACAGAGGACGAGATGGTGGGACAGTGTTCTCGAAGCTACCAGCATGAGTTTGACCAAACTGCGGGAGGCAGTGGAAGACAGGAGGGCCTGGCGTGCTCTGGGCCAGGGGGTCACAAAGAGGCGGACACGACTAAACGACAACAACAAGCGAGCTTTGGTGCGGGGCTGCCTTGGGATCATCATGGACCCCCATAAGTCCCTGAAATGTCCAGCCCACCGAATTCGTAGTGCAATAGCTGTGCAGCTGTCTTAAATCAGCCTTCTCCTGAGTCGGGATCCCTAGACGTTGGCGGGTGGCAAATTTGAGATACACTCCCTTACCGCATGGAAAAGATGGGAGGAAGAATCACTTTGGGGGAGCCATTCATTCCTAAGAGAAACCTGTGTTGTCGTCATTCGTCTCCCCCCCCCCCCATTGGAGGAATGCCTCTGTTCGAAATAATAGAATATTCTCTGCGGTTTGGGGGTTTTATGCTAGGATTCAGCCCTCCCACCCTCTAGTAGAGCTGCTCCTGTTTGCTTGGCAAAAAATTAAAAATTAAAAAATGGCAGAGAGAGAGACACACAAGCCTCTTTGTATTACTCTCCCTGGGTACTTTTTGGAAAAAGGCACACAGGACAAAGGGGTCTTCTGTCTGCCCGGATGAAAGGAGGAGGCTGTGGCTGGTTTCCGCGGAGCGTGGCCGCGTTAACCAGCTGCGTATCGGAGTTTAAAGGCAAAGGGACCTTTGACCATTAGGTCCGGTCGTGGCCGACTCTGGGGTTGCGGCGCTCATCTCGCTTTACTGGCTGAGGGAGCCGGCGTACAGCTTCCGGGTCATGTGGCCAGCAGGACTAAGTCGCTTCTGGCGAACCAGAGCAGTGCATGGAAACGCCGTTTACCTTCCCGCCAGAGTGGTACCTCTTTATCTACTTGCACTTCGACGTGCTTTCAAACTGCTAGGTTGGCAGGAGCAGAGACTGAGCAACGGGAGCTCACCCCGTCATCGCGGGGATTCGAACCGCCGACCTTCTGATCAGCAAGTCCTAGGCTCTGTGGTTTAACCCACAGCGCCACCCGTGTCCCATGTATCGGAGTTTACGAGTGGACAAATTGGGGGGGGCAGTTACGGAAGACCCTCTTTCCGCAACCTGTTCCACTGCCAAACGATAGGAAGTTACAGTGGTACCTCGGGTTACAGACGCTTCAGGTTACAGACTCCGCTAACCCAGAAACAGTACCTCGGGTTAAGAACTTTGCTTCAGGATGAGAACAGAAATTGTGCAGCAGCAGGTGGCCCCATTAGCTAAAGTGGTGCTTCAGGTTAAGAACAGTTTCAGGTTAAGAACAGACCTCCGGAACGAATTAAGTTCTTAACCCGAGGTACCGCTGTATTCCTATTGTTTAGTAGGAATCTCCTTTCTTCTAACTTGTCCGGATCAAGGGGAGTCATAGTCTTGGCTCTATTCCGCCTTGGTCAGACCACACCTGGAGTCCCGTGCCCAGTTCTGGACACCACAATTTAAAGGAGGGTGTTGACAGGCCGGAAGGTGTGCAGAAGGTTCTGGAAGCCAAGCCTGATGAGGAACGGTCGAAGGAGCTGGGTACATTTAGCCTGGAAAAGAGGAGACTGAAAGGAGATAGGAGAGCCGTCTTCAAATATCCGAAGGGCTGTCACATGGAAGAGGGAGCAAGCTCGTTTTCTCCTTCTCCAGAGAGCAGGACTCGAACCCGTGGCTTCAGGTGACAAGGAAGGAGATTCCGACTCAACGTCAGGAATAACTTTCCGACAGTGGGAGCTGTTTGGCCGTGGGATGGAAGGTGACGGACTCACCTACCTTGGAGGTTTTCAAGCAGAGGTTGGACGGCTATCTGTCAGCAATGCATTGTACGGGGTTGGACTGGATGACCTTTGGGGTCCCTCCGAACTGTAAAATTCTGTGATATTTCTTGACTTTAAATCATGGGTAGGCCAACTAAGGCCCGGGGGCCGGATCCGGCCCAATCGCCTTCTCAATCCGGCCCACGGACGGTCCGGGAATCAGTGTGTTTTTATGTGAGTAGAATGTGTGCTTTTATTTCAAATGCATCTCTGGGTTATTTGTGGGGCATAGGAATTCGTTCCTTCCCCACCCCAATATAGTCCGGCCCCCCGCAAGGTCTGAGGGACAGTGGACCGGCCCCCTGCTGAAAAAGTTTGCTGACCCCTTCTTTAAATCACCTGCGTTGCTAAGAATTCGGTTCGGGGGTCAATGAAACGCTGTGTTGCTGTTTTGTGTCTTTGCCGAGTTAACTTTCTTTCTGTTTAGGTGGGCGTCCTCTGCCCTGAAGAAACGAGAAATGTTCTGCTGAGGCTCAGAATTTTTGTCTTTTCTCTCGTAGGGTCGACTCTGACTTGAAAACCGCCCCGTGGGAAACACCCGAAGGACAAAATGGCAGGTAATGATATTCACAGGAACGGTTTTGAGCCTTCCGCCCTACCGGTCTGAAAAACAGTGTTTGATTTCAGGGGTTTGGACTAGATTATTCTTGCAACCCTGTGATTCTCAGGCCACTTCTGACACCCGTTGCGCTTGTGTGTGCTTCGAGAATTGTGCAAAAAGGCCTGCTGTTCACCGGGCTGAAATATACACGTCTCCTACAGAATACAGTGGTACCTTGGCTCTCACACTTAATCCGTTAACGGAAGTCCGTTCCAGAACCAAAGCGTTCCAAAACCAAGGCGTGCTTCCCCATAGAAAGTGATGCAAAACGGATTAATCCGTCCCAGACTTTTAAAAACAACCCCTAAAACAGCCATTTAACATGAATTTTACCATCTAACGAGACCATTGATCCATTAAATGAAAGCAATCATCAAACCACTGTACTGTAAAATAAATATGACAGTATTTTGGATGATAAAAATAATTATTTTTTCCTTCCCTGCACTGATGATAGTCATTGCATGGATGGGGGGCTTTTATCCATTTCTGCAGTCGCTCAATCAATCAATCAATCAATCAGTAGCTGAACTGGGTTCCACGCAGTCGCAAAAACAAATGAACTGAAAAAGCCTCAGAAACAGAAACGCAAAATAAAGAGCAAAAACCAAAGGGCCAAATTTAATCCGTTCCGAAAGTCTGTTTGACTTCTGAAATGTTCAAAAACCGAGGCGCACCAAGGGCTGGCTGCAAGTTCAATTGGAAAAATGGGAAAACTCGCAGCGGAAGCCATTCAGAAACGGAAGCAATTGCTTCTGGGTTTTGGGCGTTTGAAAACTGAAGCGTTCAGCTCCTGAGACGCTCGAAAACCAAGGTACCACTGTACAGTGGTACCTCAGGTTACATACGCTTCAGGTTACAGACTCCGCTAACCCAGAAATAGTGCTTCAGGTGAAGAACTTTGCTTCAGGATGAGAACAGAAATCGTGCTCCGGCGGCAGCAGGAGGCCCCATTAGCTAAAGTGTTGCTTCAAGTTAAGAGCAGTTTCAGGTTAAGAACGGACCTCTGGAACGAATTATGTACTTAACCCGAGGTACCACTGTACATAGTTTGTAATGGACAGCTCCTCTAATGTGTTGTGTTTTTGGGGATTTTTGAGCCGCCGGCTTAACCTTCCGGCTGCGAAAGCGCCGCTTCGCAAACCCAAAAACCTCTTTTCCCCACTTTGGTTTTTCTCGTTCTTTTCCCAGAGAAAGTCAACAACTTCCCTCCGCTCCCCAAATTCATCCCGCTGAAACCGTGCTTCTACCAGAACTTTGCCGACGAGATTCCCATTGATCATCAGACGCTGGTCAGACGGATCTATCACTTATGGATCTGTAAGTTTCCCCCGGGGGGGGGGGGAAACGGCGTTCGGGGTGGATTAAAATCAATGATTTTTTTTTTTAAGTACAGTGGTGCCTCGCAAGACGAAATTAATTCGTCCCGTGAGTTTTGTCGTCTTGCGAATTTTTCGTCTTGCGAAGCACGGTGTCGGGAAAGTTTTGGAAAAGCTTCAAAAATCACCAAAGTCTTCAAAAACCTCAAAAAAGGCTACCACACCGCTTGCTATAAGTTGCTCCTCAAAGTCAAGTCGCAACTGTATTAACGGTGTTAAGAAAAGGAAACAAACTTGGAAGACGTTTCCGTCTTGCGAAGCAAGCCCATAGGGAAAATCGTCTTGCGAAGCAGCTCAAAAAACAAAAAACCCTTTTTGTCTTGCGAGGCATTCGTCTTGCGAGGTACCACTGTAAATAAAAAAAAGGGATTTTTAAATAATTTAAGTCGGGATTTTTAAAATGCTTTTAGGAGGAAAAATCTTTCTAAAGATAGTTTTCGATTCAAATTACATGACTTTTGTCTTCTGGGTTTTCTGGTGGTTTTCCTGTTGTTATTCTCTCTCTCATGGCTGCAATAAACCTACCATTAAAATGAGGGACTGGTCATTTTTTCGTCAGAGGGCAAATTTAGCAGGGGATCAAATACTCCCCCCCCCCCACTATATTAAAATAAAATGCGAAATTAGAGAGGAAGTCAGAAAACTCATTAGTCGAGGTTGACAGAAGTCCTAGGCTGTGATAGCCAAAGGTTTGTTCTGTTGTATAAGATGGGGTGTTATGTTTGAAAAACATGTGCAAAAATAAAAATAAAAATTATAGTAAAGGTAAAGAGACCCCTGACCGTTAGGTCCAGTCGTGGCCGACTCTGGTGTTGCGGCGCTCATCTCGCTTTATTGGCCGAGGGAGCCGACATACAGCTTCCGGGTCATGTGGCCAGCAGGACTAAGCCGCTTCTGGCGAACCAGAGCAGCACACGGAAACGCCGTTTACCTTCCCTCCGGAGTGGTACCTATTTATCTACTTGCACTTTGACGTGCTTTCGAACTGCTAGGTTGGCAGGAGCAGGGACCGAGCAACGGGAGCTCACCCCGTCATTGCGGGGATTCAAACTGCCGACCTTCTGATCGGCAAGCCCCAGGCTCTATGGTTTAACCCACAGAGCCACCCGCGTCCCATAAAAATTATATATATATATATATAAAATAGAAAAAGGAATTTGCAGCTGTGTCCCGTAAGGGGATCGAACCCGCAACCGTGGCGTTAAATCAGCACCGCGCCCTACCCAACTGAGCTATCCAAACCCGTTTCTGTCGCCTTAAGACATTTATTTTCTTCCCCTTTTTCTCTCTCTCCTGTCTTCCACAGTCTATTGCATCACCTTGGGCGTCAATCTCATCGCCTGCCTGGCCTGGTGGATCGCCGGCGGTTCCGGGGCCAACTTCGGCTTGGCGCTCCTCTGGCTCCTTGCTTTCAGTCCCTGCGGTTACGTCTGCTGGTTCCGGCCGGTCTACAAAGCCTTTAGGTAAATGGCCCGTCTGTCTGCATTTAAGGTAAAGGTAAAGGGACCCCTGACCATTAGGTCCAGTCGTGGCCGACTCTGGGGTTGCGGCGCTCATCTCGCTTTATTGGCCGAGGGAGCCGGCGTACAGCTTCCGAGTCATGTGGCCAGCAGGACGAAGCCGCTTCTGGCGAACCAGAGCAGCGCACAGAAACGCCGTTCACCTTCCCGCCGGAGCGGTACCTATTTATCTACTTGCACTGGTGTGCTTTCGAACTGCTAGGTTGGCAGGAGCAGGGACCGAGCAACGGGAGCTCACCCCGTCATCGCGGGGATTCGAACCGCCGACCTTCTGATCGGCAAGTCCTAGGCTCTGTGGTTTAACCCACAGCGCCACCCGCGTCCCTCCACCTGCATTTATCTCCCCCAAAATATCCAGGACTGATGTTGCTAATAACCCTGTGGACGGGCTCCTTTTTGTTGTTGTTTTAAAACCTCTCTGCAAGGAGAAATCTAGTCCATCAAGAAACTGGCTCCTTTCTCCTTGCGGCGTTCAGAAGCGGCGTCTTCCGCACTCGCCTTATGAAACCACAGTAAAACATCAAACTTTTTATAATATTTATTATTATTTTATATTATTTATTCTCCGCCCATCCGGCTAGGACGCAGCCCTTCTGAACCACCAGGGAGAATTTTTTATTTCTGTCTATTTGCATTTCTACTACATTTCAAAATTCTTACATATTCAGGGGGAAAAGGAAAACGTAGGACTTCCCTTCCCCTCTTTCCTTATATTTTCCCCTTCCCAAACCTTTCTCTACTCCTCTCCTGACCTCTTAATTCTAACTTAAAACACCGCCGAACTAAACTCGCAGCCTCCTAAACCGGTTATCTGTCTATGTAATGATTTTTCATGTATCCTATAAATATTTTCCAGCCCTCCTTAAACCTTTTATCATCCCGATTCCCGAAAGAACTTTTGCACGCGTTGTGGAAGGGCAGGGATTATTGGCTAGTTTCCGTTCTTACTTTTTGTTATATCCAACAAATTGTGAAGTCACAATAAGACATCAAACGTTTAACAACAACAACAAATTTGTATTACCGTATTTTTCGCTCTATAAGGCGCACCAGAACACAAGACGCACCTAGTTTTTGGAGGAGGAAAACAAGAAAAAATATATTCTGAATCTCAGAAGCCGGAACAGCAAGAGGGATCACTGCGCAGCGAAAGCAGCAATCCCTCTTGCTGTTCTGGCTTCTGGGATAGCTGTGCAGCCTGCATTCGCTCCATAAGACGCACACACATTTCCCCTTACTTTTTAGGAGGGAAAAAGTGAGTCTTACAGAGCAAAAAATACGGTAACTATATCCCACCCATCTGGCTGGGCTTCCCTAGCCACTCTGGGCAGCTCCCAACAGACTATTAAAAATACAATAAAACATCCAAGATTAAAAGCTTCCCTAAACAGGGCTGCCTTCAGATGTCTTCTAAAAGTCCAATCGTTATCTCCTTGACATCTGGCGGGAAGGCGTTCCACAGGGCGGGCGCCACCACCGAGAAGGCCCTCTCTCTGCGGTGTTTTCAACCATTTGCTGACTCCCAGCCTCCGCTGAATCCTCCCTCTCTTCCCTTTCGTCCCGCAGGTCGGACAGCTCTTTTAACTTCATGGCTTTCTTCTTCGTCTTCGGAGCCCAGTTCGTCCTGACCGTCATTCAAGCCGTCGGCATCGGCGGCTGGGGAGCGTGGTAAGTTTATTCGTTTCTGAAAAGATTGAGGATACGCAGCCGTACTTTGGAAGTCGGACGGCAAAGTTCCCAGACCTTTTGGCTCCCGGGCGTCGCAAACCCGGAAGTGAGCGTTCCGGTTTGCGAACCGTTTTTGGAAGCCGAACGTCCGGCGCGGCTTCCGATTGGCTGCGGGAGCTTCCTGCATTCAGCAGTGACCGGGTGCCCTTTTCTTCTCTTCCAGCGGTTGGCTTGCAGCCGTGACGTTCTTCGGCACGAGCGTCGGCGCGGCCGTGATCATGCTCATCCCAGCGATCATGTTCACGTTTTCGGCACTGGTGATGCTGGTTTGCCTTCTGCGGGTAAGCGAGGTTTTGTTTAAATTGCTATTAAGGAAACGGTTGTTTTTCTCCTTCCAACAAAGGACAGCGGAAAAGCTGCCCAAATGTAAACAGCTAACTTGTTAAACCTCACAATCATTTCATAGTTCTGTATTTCTAGTAAAGGTAAAGGGACCCCTGACCATTAGGTCCAGTCGTGGCCGACTCTGGGGTTGCGGCGCTCATCTCGCTTTATTGGCCGAGGGAGCCGGCGTACAGCTTCCGGGTCATGTGGCCAGCATGACTAAGCCGCTTCTGGCGAACCAGAGCAGCGCACGGAAATGCCGTTTACCTTCCCGCCGGAGTGGTACCTATTTATCTACTTGCACTTTGACGTGCTTTCAAACTGCTAGGTTGGCAGGAGCAGGGACCGAGCAACGGGAGCTCATCCCGTCATTGCGGGGATTCGAACTGCCGACCTTCCGATTGGCAAGTCCTAGGCTCTGTGGTTTAACCCACAGCACCACAATTTCCCTTAAAAAAAGGAAAACATTGACAGCTATGGCACGTGCTATTTTTAACTGGTAGCAGGGAATATTCCCTAGTTCCCGGCACTTCCCGGAAGCGCTGAGTTTTGAGTTCGAGGTGCTCCGGTTCCGACCCGCCTTTTAAACTCCCCTCCCTCTCCGAAACCAGGTCCACCGGCTTTACCGCGGCGGCGGCGGAAGCTTCCAGAAAGCTCAGGACGAGTGGCAGACTGGGTCGTGGCGGGACCCCCCGAGCCGGGAAGCCCAGTTCAGCAACTTCTCTGGGAACAGCCTCCCCGAATACCCAACCGTCCCCAACTACCCTCCCGGAGGCCGGTGGCCGTGAGTTCGAAACCAGCTCCCGTCAGACTTGCGCCCGGATCGTTTGTTTTTTCGGATCGCTGTGCAAATTTTTATTTTTACATCTTGCAGTTTTTGCGGATTTTAAAAATCATTCCGGGTGGAAGAATAACATGCAAGACGTTCGTCTTTTCCCTGTTGTTGTTTTTTCATCTCTCTCAATTTGTTTCAAATAATCTCAATGTTCTCCTTGCCTTTTGGCGACCACAGAAGAATTTGGAGGACCTTGCTTGTTTGGAACTGCAGGAAGTGTGGCTCTTGCCAACATTTGACTAGTTTGCCTTGAGGGATGCGGGCTGCCATTTCTATTCCTCTATTCTCCCTGTGTCCATCCTCACTTTTTTGCCAATGGATGAATGACACAGGCCTAGGGGGAAAAGTCACATCCTTAAACCTTCCTAAAATCTGCCTTCGCGGTCAACCTTTTTGCCTAAGAGAGCAGCGGATCACCGCCACGTTCTTCGCCTGCGGGCTTTTTTGCATTTTCGGGAGCCTCCGCTCTTGCAAGTAGTTGTGAGAGGAGGAGAAAGAAACCTTTGATTATTATGATTTTATTTTATTTGTTATGTGCCCAAGAACAGCATTGCCCGTTCTCGATCTCTGCCATTCCTTTCTGGCCGCAGCGGTGAGTGACAACTCAAGATACGTTGTGGGGGAAGCGCTAAAATTGGAGGAAGTCCCCGCAGGCGGAAAACCAGAACATCTCCTCTCTCTCTCTCTGCTCAATTTCTACATGCAGGGATTTGTTTCGGGGCGACCGGGGGAAACGCTGAAAAGTTAACTCCAGGGGGAAAAGAGGGTGCTTTTCTTGGAAGTCTTGATCGGTTGAGGACTTTGGGGGCTGCGTATGTTTTTTCGATGCTTACCTGCTACTCATTCCCGTCCCAAACGCCAACTTACCTGAGCTAGACGAGGAAGACTTTGCGTTCGGCCTGGGAACCCCAAAACAGTAGTGGGCTCCTCGGTTTTGACGGATCGCATCCCGGCAGGTTTCAACCCAGCAAAGCTTTGCCTCCTGAGTTTCCGCTTCGGCACTGAATCGGGCCCGTGGCCGCCAGCCGCGACCCCCAGCCACCCACACAATAACCAGGAAGCAGTGGGGTGAACTGGGCCTGCCCCACAAATCCTGAACAGCACTTAACCTTCTTCCACCCAAATATCACAGCAGCCTTGATCCCCACAGGACTGGGTGACGGCGCCTATAGGGTGGGGGCCTTCTCCTGGCTTTACCCCCTCTTGGAAACCCACCCGGATTTTGGCCTCGACTCCCAGCATAACCAAGATAGAACTGGACCCCTCGGTCGAACATTTCATTTTGGAACCAGCAGGCGCTGTATGTCACCCCAGAATTCCGCTTTCCGTTATTCCCCCGTCCATTAAAAATGCCATGGGACCACTTCAAATGGCTTTCCCCATCCGCCCCCGCCAAAGAATCCTGGGAGTTATAGTTTGCGGAGGGCGCCAGGGGTTGCTTGCAGGCGCCTTGCGTTCCCTTTGTGGAGCTACAGTTTGCCAGTCAGCGCCTCTTGGAGGGGGATTCCGGGAACGGGGGGATACAGGCGCCTCCGAACCGCTCCCGGCGCCCTTCGCGAACTATAACTCCCAGGATTACTTTCGGGGAAGCCACAAACTGTTTATGAAGTGGCATCGTCGTGCTTTAAATGTGTGGCGCGGGCATGCTGTTTTTATTTTTTTGCAAACAACTGCATTGTGTGTTTTTTTGGGGGGGCGGCTCATTTTCGCCTCCCCACGCCTTGCCAGAATCAAAACGCGCCCGTTTGTTTCCTTGTCTCGCCTTAGCTATTCTGCCCCCCCTTTGAGGAGCGGAATTCGAATGCATTAACCAGGAACTTTCCTGGGGGGTACGTGGGTTTCTCAAAACACCCAGAGCGATTGGGGGGGCGCGGCTGGGTGGAAACTACGAATGTGAAAACTTTTTTTACGGAACGGAGCCAGGAATTGGGGCAGGGCTAAAAAGCAGGGGGGTCTTTTAGGCCCCCTAAACGCTCAAAGCGGTATCGTGCCCCCTTTAAGCCGCCCTGACTTCTCCCAAAAATCCCGGGAACTGTAGTTTCCCCCGGGGGCGCCCAGTGTGCTTAGGAGACCCCGATTCCCTCCAGTCCCCAGTGAATTCCCTAGGCAAGATAATTAAACCGCTCTGCGAGTGGAATAGGACTTCCCTAACAACAACATCCTGGGGAGAACTATAGTTCCCAAGAGGCCTTGGTTTCGGGGGGACTGCTTAGACCACTTCAAAACTGCCTTAAAGTTCCAGTACAGACTTTAGCTCTTGGGTCAGCGGTCTTTTAACGACATGTGCCTTACCGGAGATTGCAAAAAAAAATCCCGCCCGCCCCGTCGTAACTTGATTTTTGCTCTTATTTTCCTCGCTACGGGGTGTGTGGTTTTGTTTACACTTGAAGGGGCGTTCCTCCCCTTCTTACTCGAAAGGACCAACGTCTTGTAAATACTCTCTGAACTTCTCCCCTCTCTCGCGGCGAAATCTTGCGCCGGGCAACGCGAAATTCGCGGGGGTCCGAAAACCTCCTTACGGGGCGGCGACTCTCATCTCAAGAGTCCGCAAACCCAGCCTGTTTTGCACGGGGGGCAAGGAACCTGGCTGCCCCCCTCCCCACCCCAGATAAGGATGGGCTCCATCTTTGACCGTGGGGCCAGGGCGGCAGTCGCCGCCGCCCCCCCCCAACATCGCCTCTCTCCTAAACAGAGACGTTCCTACATATCTTGCAAACGGAGCCATTCCTCTCGCACACTACGAAATGCTTTTGGGGGATGTGGGGAGACCCCAGATTCAGACCCCAAAGACCCCTTATGGTGGGTCGTCCGTCCGTCTCCTCCGCCTGCCCGCTTCCTGGCGTTTCAAGCCCAGCCACGGTTTCCTCAAATCAGCCTTTCTCAACATCCCCAGATGTTGTTGTACTACAACTCCCATCACCCCTAGCTAGCAAGGCCAGAGCTCAGGGACGATGGGAGTTGTAGTCCAACAACATCTGGGGACCCACAGGTGGAGAACCGCTCAGACGTCACTTGCGATACCCTAAAGCAGGCATCCCCAACCAGATGTTTTGGACCACATGAGAACCGCTGCCTTAAATCAACACCTGCAATTATTACGATTATTTTGCAGCTCCACCCCACCCCCCCAAAAATGCCAAAGGCTGGCCCCCCTGGCAGGAACAGTACTAGGGCGCTTTCTCCTGAATTCCCGCACCCCCTTTCTCCTATGGGGTGTTTTTTTGGGGGGGGTCGAAAGAGCGTCCAGGTGTTTACAAGACGCCTGCGGAATTGATGGGGCGGTCGCCCCACCTCGCCGAGTTGGCAGTGAGGTGCGTGGATCGTGGCTCCTTCGCCCCCCCACCCATATCTCTCGGGGAGGGGGGATCGCTTGCAAATAGGGGTGCTGAGCGACCTCTGAGCTGTAAGCGGCGGGTTCCAATTCTGCTTGGTTGCAGAATTATGTTTAAAAAAAACCACATCGCTTTCCCATCTTGTTGCCAAGTTTCTGGACTCTCCTGTTTCATTTTGGGGGAGAGGTCTCCCCCCATTTATACGAAACAAACTTACCTAACTCCTTGGAAGGAGAGACTTGGATTTTGGGGGGGGGGTCCACAACACCGGGGGTGTTGTGGTTGTGTGTGTGGGTTTTTTTACGTACCAAGCCAAGGCGGTAAATGTTCGCCAAATACTTTCCTAGAAATCTAAGAGGGAGACCCACAAAACTGGCCTGTTTTTTCCTCTTTTCTCTTGACCCCAGGGAACCCTGGCAATTGTAGTCTTTTCGACGCCGTGCCCCCCACGTTCAAGATCTCTGTCTCTCTCCCAAAACGGAAAAAACCCTTGCTTTTTTCTAGCATTGCAGATCCACCTTCAGAGCCACGTGCGATCTGTTTTTCTTAAATCTCAAAAACTGGATCACCACGCAGAGTGTACAGTCTCCCCTCGTTGTCTTAATATAACCTACTGATAACTCTGTTGTTGTTTAATAAACAGGAAAATACGTTTGTAACACCGTGTTTACACAAGGGAACTAACTGATGCCTTTTTTGGAGGGGCGGGTAAGCGAGCGTGGGGTCTCAACTCTGCCAGCTCTCTATCCGCCACGTTGATTTTTTATTTTGCATTGCGGAATGATCTCGTTCGGCGATTTTTTTGGTGACTTTAAAAATAAAAACGGAATTAAAAGTTTGCCTACTGGAAAGGAGGAGCCTCTGTGTGCTTTGTGCGATGATTAAATGGACGGGAAATTCAGGGAGGGTCCTGCGGCAGGATCAGGCCCAAGGGGGCTCATCTGATTCAGCATTCTTACAATGGGCACGAAGACGACCGTACGCTTCCCGCAGACTGTATCACCAGAGTGGTGCATGCTCTGGTTATCTCCCGCTTGGACTACTGCCATGCGCTCTCCGTGGGGCTGCCTTTGAAGGTGACCCGGAAACTGCAACTAATCCAGAATGCAACTGCCACACTGGGGACTGGGAGCCGCCGCCGAGACCATGTAACACTGGTCCTGAAAGACCTACATTGGCTCCCAGTACGTTTCCGAGCACAATTCAAAGTGTTGGGGCTGACCTTGAAAGCCCTAAATGGCCTCAGTCCGGTATAACTGAAGGAGCATCTCCACCCCCATCGTTCAGCCCGGACACCAGGGTCCAGCTCCGAGGGCCTTCTGGCGGTTCCCTCCCTGCGAGAAGCCAAGTTACAGGGAACCAGGCAGAGGGCCTTCTCGGTGGTGGCGCCCACCCTGTGGAACGCCCTCCCACCAGATGTCAAAGAGAACAACAACTACCAGACTTTTAGAAGACATCTGAAGGCAGCCCTCTTTAGGGAAGCTTTTAATGTTAGATGCATTACTGTATTTTAATATTTTGTTGGGAAGCCGCCCAGAGTGGCTAGGGAAGCCCAGATAGTGGGGTTCTTCTCCGCCTCCCCTCTCAATTAACCTCCATCTCCAAGGTCCCCCAATTAACCTGCTCTCTTTTCCAAAAAACACCCCTATCCTAAAATGCCACGTTCCTAATCACTGACACATTTTTTAACACAGCTTGACGCAGGGCTACCGACGCTCTTCTGCAAAACTTCTCTTTCCAGGCGAGAGAGAGATAAAACTTTTTGTCTCTCTCTTTCCAGGCCCAGAGAGCAAAAAAGGAGCGTTGTCCTGGGCTGACCTGCTGGGATTCAGCTGGACACAGCTGTCCCAAAAGATCTCCTTTCCTCCACGCCTCCCTGGCCAACGGCAGCTGCTGCCTGAATTTTGCAGCAGGGTGGCAGACGAAAACAGCGGCTTTCTCCAACCGAAGTGAGAAATTTCCTTTCCGCTCGCCGCGCCACGAGAGAAGCCGACCTCTTGCCACCAAAGGTTTCCCGCCCACACACAAAGAGGCCAGCGACACAGCTATAAACCGTACGAAGCCATGTTTTCCCCGACCCTGGGGGGCTTCGGCTTTCCCCATCGGTTGTCAGGCAAGCAGAATTTGTGCGCTTGTTTGGGGGCGAATCTCGCGGACCGTCAGCTTTTAAAAAACCAGGGAGCCCGCTTCGTTCTTCCAAAGCATCTTTATTCATACGCAAACATACGCAGGTTTGAAACGGGTGCGTCGGTCCGGTAGAATTTGTGCAAGGTTATTTTCTTTGTGCAGGCAACGGCTTCCTTCTTGCTTTGCAAGACTGCACCCTACCCCGAAGAGGAGGGGGAACCTTTAGAAATTCAGATGTTTCTGGGCTACCGTCCTCCATCGTCGGTTGTGCTAGCTAGGACTGATTGGAGCTGAAGAACCAACAACCAAAATCCTGTTGTTCCCTTCCCCTGTACTCCTGCCCCATTCTGTCTCCCCAAAAATACCCCACAGCTTTGGGCTGCTGGCTTGTTCCTAACAAACAAAAACAGCCCTTCCGCTTTCGGATTAAAAGGGATCTGGGGGAGTCCAGCCAGGTCGGCAGGGTAACAGATAACAAAATTATTATCCTTATTATTACCCAACTTCTTCCGCACCTTGGATCCCAACCTGATTTTCGTTATTAAACAGGGGAAAAACAACTTAAGAATAAACCATTTCTCTTGCAACACTTCCAGGACAGACGAAAAGGTTTATTAAAGAGATATATAGGGTTAAGGATCACTGCAGATGGTAACAGCAGCCACGAAATTAAAAGATGCCTGCTTCTTGGGAGAAGGGCAATGACAGGCCTAGACAGCATCTTGAGAAGTAGAGACGTCACCTTGCCAACAAAGGTCCGTATAGTTAAAGCCATGGTTTTCCCAGTAGTGATGTATGGAAGTGAGAGCTGGACCATCAAGAAGGCTGATCGCCGAAGAATGGATGCTTTTGAATTCTGGTGCTGGAGGAGACTCTTGAGAGTCCCATGGACTGTGAGAAGATCAAACGCATCCATTCTTAAGGAAATCAGCCCTGAGTGCTCACTGGAAGGACAGATCCTGAAGCTGAGGCTCCAAGACTTTGGCCACCTCATGAGAAGAGAAGACACCCTCGAAAAGACCCTGATGCTGGGAAAGATGGAGGGCACAAGGAGAAGGGGGCGACAGAGGACGAGATGGTTGGATAGTGTTTCCGAGGTTACCAGCATGAGTTTGACCAAACTGCGGGAGGTAGTGGAGGACAGAGGTGCCTGGCGTGCTCTGGTCCAGGGGGTCACGAAGAGGAGGACACGACTAAACGACTAAACAACAACAACAAAATAGGGTTAAGATAGATAGGTGCGGGGGCCAAGCTCAGATCCACCGAGGTCTTGCTATTTTTTGAACCCCAAAAAAATGAACGGCGGTGAGCAGAAGAGACTGGGAGAATTGGGGAAAAAACAGCTTTATTCAGTTGAGAAGATTGTAGAAATGGCGGTTCAGCTTTTTTTACACACAGGGTGACCCGTTGCGGAAGCTGGGATGGATACGGATAGCAAAACGACCCAAAATTATATCTCTCCCCCCCCCCCGGCTAACTGCCTTCCACACCTGATATTTGGGGACGCGTTTTTTTAAAGAGTCTCATCGCTTCAGAAGTTACGGACGGCAAGGGCCACCTGACGAGGGCGGGAGAAAGAGATCGAAGGAGGCGGGAAATAAGTTAAACCTCTGTACAAGAGAAACGAGCGTTAGGCGAAATGTACAAGCGATCAAAGCTGGCGTGTGGCCCCCCCCTCCTTAAGTACCAGGGGGTCACGAGTTGCGTGCTGGGAGGGGGTTAGGAGATGGGGACACCCCCCCCCGCGGCGGACATCAGTGCAAAACGGAACAAAAAACGGGCACCACCAAAAACGACACAGGTTCCGAATGATATGAAGGGGACGTTCGCACCCAGGCCTTGTTGGGAGAGGGCGGGACCTGAACTCGGGACCCCCCGGACTCTTGAGTCGCTGAGCTCGGAAGCGAGGCGAGGTTCTCGTCCTCTTTCGCTCTGAACTCAAGCAGGGACGCTGCCTTAATACTGAGCCAAATTTCCTGTCGAGTTTGGCATCGTTCCAGGCAGGGGGGTGTGGGTGTGTGCCTGCCCCCTATGTCAGCCCTACTCAGAGACATGTCGATTTGAACCCAGGACCGACTCTGCCTAGCCTTCTGCAGCCTTTCCCCAGAGAACGGCGAGTTGATTTCGAATCGTGGTTTGGAAAACCACGACAACCTGCCCCTTCCCAACCCGCAAGACGTCACGGCTAAAAAATAGGAGGCCCTGCCTTCTTCGCCTCTGCCGGTAAGGTACCGAGTTCAAGAAACCTGGGCGAGACAGCAGGTGATGTCGGAAAGGGTGGTGTGGCGGCGAGGGGCTTAATGGAAAACAGGAGGTAATCTGGGGTGTTGGAGGGGGATACAAGGGGAGGTTGGCGGTGGGTTCAAGGTGGGATATGGGGCAGGGGACGTCCTTAGAGGGCGGTCTTGTCTAAATCCACTTTGACAGGCAGGAGCGCCGCTTCCTCGTTCTCCGCCGGGCAGATGGCGACGGCGATTACGGGCCGGAGGGAATATGGAAGGGAGCTATCCAGGTCTTCCAGATATTCCTTGTCTCCGTTGATACTCAGGGGCTGTGAGGAAAGAAAGGAGGAGAAGATTTGCCCGTTTATTTTCCTTCCGAAATAATATTTTGCTAACGCCATGGGGAGTTCTACTCGGAACAAAACCAACTTCACCTTGAGAGCCGGTTCTTAACCGTGATTATTTTATTTTATTTATCGTATTTTATAAAATGCACACGCCGCTCCGTTGTTGAAAAAGAAACGTTGCAGTGGTCCCTTGGTTCTCAGACGCCTCGGTACTCAAACAACTTGGAACCCAAACACTGCAAACCCGGAAGGAAGTGTTCCGGTTTGTGAACCTTTTTCGGAAGCCGGACGTGCTCTATTTGGAGTGTTACGCTTCCGATTTGAGTGTTACGCTGAGGTCTGTTTTTGCTATTTATTTTGCGTTTTTGTTTTCACGGCTCTTTTTGTTTTGGTTTTGGGCCTGTTTGGAACCCAGTTCAGTTACTGATGATTGGAGTGTGTGACTGCAGTACATTGTTTATTGCTTTCATTTTTATGGACCAATGGTCTCGTTAGATACCAAAATTCATGTTCAATTGCTGTTTTAGGGGTTGTTTTTAAAAGTCTAGGTAAAGGGATCCCTGACCATTAGGTCCAGTCGTGGCCGACTCTGGGGTTACAGCGCTCATCTCGCTTTACTGGCCAAGGGAGCCGGCGTACAGCTTCCGGGTCATGTGGCCAGCAGGACTGAGCCGCTTCTGGCAAACCAGAGCAGCGCACGGAAACGCCGTTTACCTTCCCGCCGGAGCGGTACCTATTTATCTACTTGCACTTTGACGTGCTTTTGAACTGCTAGGTTGGCAGGAGCAGGGACCGAGCAACGGGAGCTCACCCCGTCAAGGGGATTCGAACCACCGACCTTCTGATCGGCAAGTCCTGGGCTCAGTGGTTCAGACCACAGTGCCACCCGCGTCCTAAAAGTCTGGAACGGATCGTTCCGTTTTGCATGACTTTCTACGGGAAAGCACGCCTTGGTTTTGGAACGCTTTGGTTTTGGAACGGACTTCCGGAACGGATTAAGTTTGAGAACCAAGGTACCACTGTATATAGATAGATAGATGATAGATAGATAGATAGATAGATAGATAGATAGATAGATAGATAGATAGATGATATAGATAGATAGATGATATAGATAGATAGATAGATAGATAGATGATAGATAGATAGATAGATAGATAGATAGATAGATAGATAGATAGATGATATAGATAGATAGATGATAGATGATAGATAGATAGATAGATAGATAGATGATAGATAGATAGATAGATAGATAGATAGATGATATAGATAGATAGATAGATAGATAGATAGATAGATAGAGAGAGAGAGAATGAGAATATTGGAAATGGAAGAAAAGGCTCACTGCCCATCTCCCCCTTTGGCCCCCAAACCATACCTGGGTCTTGACGTGCTGATCAGGAGCTGTCACCAAGCTCGCGCAACTGAGCCACAACATCACCATGATGGAGAGGAAGAGACAAGCGGCCAGGATCCATCGCGGCAGCCCCGAACGTCTGTAACACCCAGAGGCCCCCCGCCAGAGAGAGACGACGAGATTATGGCCGGCCATGGAGGGGGCGGACGCTTCGAACTGGCTGGTGGGGGGAGAGGGAAACGGGGAAGGGGGGCCGGCGGCGGGTAGGTGGGTGGGGAAAGGGTGGGGGGGAAAGGACCGTCAACAACGTGGAAGAGGGGAACAGGTGAGTCTGGCCAGGTGAGCATCCCTTCCCTGGGAGCTCCGCCCCTCCGCCATCTGCGCCCCGCCCACTTTCCCAGCTGGCCCCGCCTCCTCGCCTCTGGCCCCGCCCCTCAATTGTCTGCTTACAATACAATTTCCAATGAAATACGGGAAAAGAACCCTTTTCATGTGTGCAACCACAGCGGCTAGGATTTTAATAGCTGGGAATTGGGAAGGCGATAGAATTCCCACACAAAAAATGATTGGCAAGCGAATATTTGGAACTTGCGAAAAGGACTGGGAGGATGAGAGGGAAATCAAACCAGGAAGTTAATAAAGGTTGGATAATATATTAAAAAGTACTTTGGCAGTACAATGCTTCTGACAGATTTAGATTGAATCTGGAAGTGTAAGGAAATTATAAAAATGAAAACTTATTTTGATGAGTAACAGGAAATAATAATAATAATAATAATAATAATAATAATAAAGTGCATATAGGATAATAGGGTGCAAAACGCACAATGAGGCGAGTCGGGAGTTAACGTACGTGTAATGTCAAAGGATTATGTTGTTAGTTAGTGCCTATGGTTTATGTTGTTTGCTGGTGGTGATAGGGTGGGGGGCAAAAATGGGAAGATTTCCCCCCCCACACACACACCTCCTTTTCGCCCAACCGCTTTGCAGAACCTTGGGCACCAGCCACAGACTTTGAGCCTAACTTTGCCTCCATGAGGACTATGAACTTGACTTTTCAAACAAAAAATCAAATACGAAAATAAAGCGGATATCGGCGTCCTTTTTTAAAAAAACAACAGATTCCTCCTATCCTCTGGGGCCTGTCTGCACATTTATCCTCAATCCCACCCCCCATTGCTCTCCCTGTACCCCAAATATCGCCTCCCCTTCCCACTTCTTTACTTGGACATGCAGCCCAGAAAGTCGTGTTCTGGGGGCGCCTGGGTCTCTGCCGGGGGCGACGATTTCCCTCTGGCTTTCGGCTCCTCCACGGGGGGTTTCTCCCGAAGGCCTGAAGGGGCGAAGAAAGCGTGCGGGTAGGGAAATACGGGGCAGAAAAGGAGACCCAAAAGTGGAGGGCCGAGGAAATAACGCAAACCGCCGACACCAACCGGGAGAAAGAAAGTTTGCAATAAACCCAGGAGCGGTTTTGCGGCGTTCCCAAATTCCCACGGCGTCCTGGGTTTTGCAAGGGTGTTAAAAATCGTTTGCAAACAGTCTCGGCATCATCCAAAGGCTCCAGCTGGTGCAAATCGCAATGTGATAAATTACTGCGACCCCTTCCTTTCAGGAAGGAAACCGCAAGCCTGCGGAGCCTGGCGGGAACACCTGCTGGGCTCCACAGGTTTGCGGATGGCTGCCTGCAGCCCGAAGCCCGGGGAGCGCGGTGCTGTGCACCCAGGGCTTCGGGCAGCTCTCCGCAAGCCTACGGAGCCCGGCGGGAGTTCCCACCAGGCTCCCAAGGCTTGCGGAGAGCAGCCTACTGTCCCCGAAGCCAAAACAGCGAGACGGGGCGCTGTGCAGCCCTCAGTCTCGCTGTTCCAGCTTCAGGATGGCTGCGCAAAGCCTCCGCAGGCCATGCGGAGGCTACAGAGGATGTCCCCGAAGCCTCAAGCCTTTGGAGTGCAGCTGCGTTCCAAAGACTTCAGGGATCTTTGAGGCTGGCAGTGGGGGAAAGCAGCGCTTCCCCCCACCGCCAGCCACACAAGCTTGGGGGGCAGTGCAAGGCCTGCTCTTGAACGCACCTTGTTTTTGAGGGGGAGAACAAGAAAAAAAAATCCCCCCTATTCTCCCCCTCCTATGGTCCGGTGCGTCCAATAGAGTGAAAAATACGGTATGTGCTTGACGCACCTCTGTGGAGAGGGGTCTCCGCAGTTTAGGGGTCGCAGTAATTTATCACCTCTAAACTATGATTATTGATTATCCATGGACCTTAAGGTCCTCTGCGGGGCAGACCAGGAGAGGCTATTAATAATACTAGCAAAATCAATACTCTCTCTTACCTGTGTGGGGCTTCAAAGTGTTGGAGGTGGATGGTGCCCACGCCTTCTCCAAAACCTCCGATTTGGGTGCCTGGACCTCTGGAACCGGATACTCGATCTCTGGCTGAGACTGAGGACAAAAAGAAGGACAGTCTTTAGAATCGCAGAATCGGCCGGGACCCCTAGAGGCATCTAGTCCAACCCCATACACGACTAAATGACTAATCAACAACATCACTTTGTGAATAATAATAATAATAATAATAATAATAAGGCACCCTTCCTCTGTTTCATTTGAGTCTCCCCCCACCTACCCTCCCTGGTTTTGCCACCCGCCCCCCAACCGTGCCAGAACCACCCACCTGGAAAACGACGACTTTCCCGTCGTCAGCCTGAAGGTAGAAGGTCCACGTGGAGGAAATGAAACTCTGCGCCGAGCTGACGATATCATTGCAGAAGCTGGAGACCAGGTCGAAGACGGAGAACGAGGCGGGTTTTGGGTCCAGGACCTGTGTGAATATAGGTGTGAGCCAATCTGAAAACTCCCCAAACCCTGAAAGGTTGGTTTCTTACAGGTGTGCAATGCAGATTTCCATACCCAGACGAAGTTCAGTGGTACCTCAGGTTACAGACGCTTCAGGTTACATACGCTTCAGGTTACAGACTCCGCTAACCCAGAAATAGTGCTTCAGGTTAAGAACTTAAGGATGAGAACAGAAATCATGCGGCAAGAGCAGGAGGCCCCATTAGCTAAAGTGGTGCTTCAGGTTAAGAACAGTTTCAGGTTAAGAACAGACCTCCGGAACAAATTAAGTACTTAATCCAAGGTACGACTGTATATGGGGAAATGTCCCCAGCCACTCTGGACAGCTCCCAGCAGACTATTAAAAGCACAGCAGAACATCAAACATTAAAAACTTCCCTGAACAGGGCTGCCTTCAGATGCCTTCTAAAAGTCGGATAGTTGTTTATTTCCTTGACATCTGACAAGAGGGTGTTCTACAGGGCGGGCACCACCACCGAGAAGGCCCTCTGCCTGGTTTCTTGCAACCTCATTTCTCGCTGGGAGGGAACCACCAGAAGGCCCTCGGAGCTGGACCTCAGTGTCCGGGCTGGACGATGGGGGTGGAGACGCTCCTTCAGGTATACAGGGCCGTTTAGGGCTTGAAAAGTGAGCACCAAAACTTTGAATTGTGCTCGGAAATGTCCTGGGAGCCAATATAGGTCTTTTAGGACTGGTGTTATGTGGTCTCGACAGCCGCACCCAGTCCCCAGTCTAGCTGCCGCATTCTGGATTAGTTGTAGTTTCCGGGTCACCTTCAAAGGCAGCCCCATGGAGAGCGCATGGCTGTAGTCCAAGCGGGAGATAACCAGAGCATGCACCACTCTGGCCAGACAGTCTGCGGGCAGGGAGGGTCTCATCCTGTGTACCAGATGGAGCTGCCCTGGACACAGAACTGACCTGCACCTCCATGGACGGCTGTGAGTCCAAAATGACTCCCAGGCTGCGCACCTGGTCCTTCGGGGGCACAGTTGTCCCATTCAGGACCAGGGAATCCCCCACACCTGCCCGCCTCCTGTCCCCCAAGAACAGTCCTTCTGTCTTGCCAGGATTCAGAAAGGCAATCCCTGCAGCCCACGTTGCGATCCAAAAGCCTGTGCCGACACACATTTGCAGACACACATTCTGCCCACAGAGACAGGTGGCAGGATGAGTTGTTTGGGCACAGGATGTTCCCTGCGCATGGCTTGGCTTTGGAGGAAATGTCTGGAGGCGCTAGCCTCCTAAGCTGTTTTTAAGACTAAAGAATGGCTCTCTAATCCCCCAACACACACATATTTCCCCCCTGACACTTTGATCAGTCTCACAAAACTGGCGAAAGCAGCGACGCCATCCCTCTAGGCTGAGATTTCGATGCCAAAACCAAACAGGTGCCAGTTTAATCTGGATGCCATGCTTTCAAAGAGGGAGGTTTGGGGTTCCAGCACCCCTTTTAGGCGTGTTTGCGTACTCCCAGAGGACGGTTTAATTTATTTATTTGCATTAAGTTTATTTATGCTTTTCAAATTTATACATTTCGCCGATTTTGATATCATTTCAACGTTTCGAAACTTTACTTCCTTCCCCCTTCTTTCTGTGGTCCCTTATTTTTAATATCTTCTGCATTTGCTCATTTATTCTTTATTTTTTATTTATATTATGCTTTATCTTTTATATTATATGCTTTTATATTTAATATTATGCTTTATATTATCATTTATATTATGCTTTAAATATATACTCTTATAAAATTGCAATAATTGTTGAAATAATCCTGCCGATGTTCTTATCTGTTTACAATTTACAGTGGTACCTCGGGTTAAGTACTTAATTCGTTCCGGAGGTCCGTTCTTAACCTGAAACTGTTCTTAACCTGAAGCACCACTTTAGCTAATGGGGCCTCCTTCTCCTGCTGCGCCGCCGGAGCACGATTTCTGTTCTCATCCTGAAGCAAAGTACAGTACTTAACCCGAGGTAATATTTCTGGGTTAGCAGAGTCTGTAACCTGAAGCGTCTGTAACCTGAAGCGTATGTAACCCGAGGTACCACTGTATCTGCAAATTATCCAGGGTCTCTGCACATTCACCGTTAGAAAAAGGCTTAGGACAGGGCCGGATTTAGGTTTGATGCGGCCCTCAGCTCCTGAAGGTAATGGGGCCCTTTCTATGTCCAGCTGTCCTTTGTCAACAACAAATTGTCGCTGTTCTTTGTGTTGAATATATGCCATATGGCCATTTATGGACCTAATAGGTATCTCAAGCCATTTGCGGATGTTGCCCTGCAACCAGTCCATGCAGAATGTAGGCACCCTATATATAAAGGTAAAGGTACCCCTGCCCGTACGGTCCAGTCTTGACAGACTCTAGGGTTGTGCACCCATCTCACTCAAGAGGCTGGGGGCCAGCGCTGTCCGGAGACACTTCCGGGTCACGTGGCCAGCGTGACATCGCTGCTCTGGCGAGCCAGAGCCGCACACTGAAACGCCATTTACCTTCCCGCCAGTAAGCGGTCCCTATTTATCTACTTGCACCCGGGAGTGCTTTCGAACTGCTAGGTTGGCAGGCGCTGGGACCGAGCAACAGGAGCGCACCCCGCCGTGGGGATTCGAAACCGTCAGCCTTTCGATCGGCAAGCCCTAGGCGCTGAGGCTTTTACCCACAGCGCCACCCGCATCCCTATATATAGGCACCCTATATATAGAAAGGAGCAAACCAGGGATATTTTAGGGAGCAGGTCGGGCCCTGTGACTTACATCAGTGATGGCCAAACTCTGGCCCTCCAGCTGTTTTGGGACTACAACTCCCATCATCCCTAGCTAACAGGACCAGTGGTCAGGGGTGATGGGAATTGTAGTCCCAAAACAGCTAGAGGGCCAAGTCTGGCCACCAACGTACATCAGAGGAGCCTACACAACACAAAACACTGTTGCTGTAGGTAGGTTTTATATTACTTGTTTTTTATCTCATACAGTGGTACCTTGGGATGCGAACGGGATCCGTTCCGGAGCCCCGTTTGCATCCCGAATGGAACGCAAGATGCAAGGGCGCGTGTGTGCGTGAGCGGGTCGTGTTTCGCCGCTTCCGCGCCTGCGCATGCGTGAGTGGCAAAACCCAGAAGTAACGCACTCTTTACTTCCGGGTTGCTGCGGAGCACAACTCGAACGCGCTAAACCCGAAGCACATTCAGCTCAAGGTATGACTGTATTTTGGAAATGTACGTCCAGTTTTTCCCCCTTTATTTGGGGGGGGGCCAAGAAAGTTTTTTTGGGGGGGCTAAGCTATAGCTTGTTTAAAGGTAAAGGGACCCCTGATCATTAGGTCCAGTCGCGGACAACTCTGGGGTTGCGGCGCTCATCTCGCTTTACTGGCCGAAGGAGCCAGCGTACAGCTTCCGGGTCATGTGGCCAGCAGGACTAAGCCGCCTCTGGCGAACCAGAGCAGCGCACGGAAATGCCGTTTACCTTCCCGCCGGAGTGGTACCTATTTATCTACTTGCACTTTGACATGCTTTCGAACTGCTAGGTTGGCAGGAGCAGGGACCGAGCAACGGGTGCTCACCCCGTCATTGCGGGGATTCGAACCGCTGACCTCCTGATCGGCAAGCCCTAGGCTCTGTGGTTTAACCCACAGCACCACCCTATAGCTTGTTTAGCTTATATGTAAATCCGGCACTGGCTTAGGAGACAAATTACCTTCTCTCCCCGTCTGTCTGTCTCCGGCAGCTGAGTCCTGCATCCCGTCGTACAGCCAAACTGTTCATCGCCGCCAGCGTAAGCTTCCATACAGGCTGAATTGTCGAGGGGGGTGGGGAGGAAGAGATTGGGGGAGGGGAGAGAGGTTATCCGCCGCGTCTCTGCGTGAGTCTGCTCTTTCTGATGGGGTGAGGCGTACTGTTGTGTCTCTGCACTTGGCTGCGAGTTTGGGGGGGAAATCTCCCAGCGGGAACCACTTGCCTCCGAAAGGAGGGTACGGGTCAACTCCCTGAACGAGTCCCTGCTCTGCTTTTGCTACCTCCCGACCGAAAGACTTTACTGCCTTCAAAAAGACAGAGTCCATTGCAGAGTTAATCACATCCTAGGAGGGGAGGGTTTCCCCCCCCCTTGTTTCGTGTCTGTCCCCACCTGCAATTTTCCATTATCCTTCCCCTCCGCTCGGCTGTCTGTGGGAATCGGTTGCAGAATATAGGCGGTGGGGAGATGACAGCCGTTTAAGTGGAAAGGAAGTTCTGGATAATGTAACCGACGGGGTTTGGACGGGGGGGGGGCGTTGTTTGTAAGGAGGAGGGGCGCGGGCTCACCCGATTCGCACTCGACTCTCGTTGCGTTCAGGTCGGCCGTGGCGTCCACAAAATGACAGATGGAAAACAGCCGGCAGCCCCGGTAGCAGGCGTTGAGGACGGCATCCTGGAATAAAATATTTTTTGGGGGGGAAGAGTGGAGAGAGAAATTAAAGCATTGTGCATGTCCCGCACAATGACATCATCTTAAAAAGCAGAGACATCACCTTGCCAACAAAGGTCCGTATAGTTAAAGATCTGGTTTTCCCAGTAGTTATGTATGGAAGTGAGAGCTGGACCATCAAGAAGGCTCATCGCCGAAGAATGGATGCTTCTGAATTCTGGTGCTGGAGGAGACTCTTGAGAGTCCCATGGACTGCAAGAAGATCAAACGCATCCATTCTGAAGGAAATCAGCCCTGAGTGCTCACTGGAAGGGCAGATCCTAAAGCTGAGGCTCCAAGACTTTGGCCACCTCAGGAGAAGAGAAGACTCCCTGGAAAAGACCCTGATGTTGGGAAAGATGGAGGGCACAAGGAGAAGGGGACGACGGAGGACGAGATGGTGGGACAGTGTTCTCGAAGCGGCCAGCATGAGTTTGACCAAACTGCGGGAGGCAGTGGAAGACAGGAGTGCCTGGCGAGCTCTGGTCCAGGGGGTCACGAAGAGGCGGACACGACTAAATGACTAAACAACAACAATGTCCCGCCGCTGACACAGAATCATAGTTCCCTCCCAGTCCCGTTTCCTTCGATTTCACCCTATACAAAACCCAATCCGGACGTTCGGTCTCTTGGTCACGTCTAGGCGTGACCAAAGGACGGGAGCCAGAGGTTTAGGGCTATGCAGGCGGAGAGAAGGAAAACGAAAAAGGTAGTTTTGAGCGGGGAGATGTTAGTTCAGCCCTCGCCACCCCGAGCATAGCATATGGCGGAAAGCCTGGCAATATATGTGCCTACCTGCAAGGGGCGTTGTATGGGTGGGTGGCTGAGATATATTTTTAAAATATTTATCAAAGGAAATATTTGCAAGGCCCCTGTCTCTCTCGTATATATGTTTGCTGCTAATGGCAGTAAAAACGATTCGTTGAAAAATGGGCGGCAATGAACTGTTTTGGAAGGAACTGTTCTTAATCGCCTGGTCGGAAAAGTTTTCAGACGATGTTTAAAAGTTGGAACACGCCGCAGGAAGTCTAGTGCCCCGGTCAGGTAATCTGTTCTGCCTGGGTCAGAACAAAACTTGGGAGTCCTGTGTTCTGGGAAGCCCAATTTAAGAAGGGTATCGACAAGGATATTCTTGGGGCGACCAAGATGGTGAAAGGGTCTGGAAACCGAGCCTGATGAGGAACGGTTGAAGGAGCGGGGTATGTTTAGCCTGGAGAAGAGGAGATAGGAGAGCCATCTTCAAATATCTGAAGGCCTGTCACAGAGAAGAGGGAGCAAGCTCGTTTTCTCCTGAGCATGACTCGAGATTTATTTATTTCTTAAGGTTCTTATGTTACATTATCATATTGCATCACAAGGCTTATTATAATATAATTTTCAGCATGTATACAAAGTTTATGTACCTAAAGAAAAGAAACAAGGACAAAAAACTATTCCAAAATCATATATTTACCAACACTTTGGACTTCCTTTCTATCCCGTTGTATATTCCTTTTTTATTGTAGATTTCTTCACATTTTATCTATCTATCTATCTATCTATCTATCTATCTATAAGGGTCTGGTGACTTCTGTTTCAGGGTATCTGAAGAAGTGTCCATGCACACGAAACCGTATATACCAAAAACAAACTTAGTTAGTCTCTAAGGTGCAACTGGACAATTTATTTATTTCAATAGGGACAAATTTAAGGTAAAGGTAAAGGGACCCCTGACCGTTAGGTCCAGTCGTGGCCGACTCTGGGGTTGCGGCGCTCATCTCGCTTTACTGGCCGAGGGAGCCGGCGTACAGCTTCCAGGTCGTGTGGCCAGCAGGACTAAGCCGCTTCAGGCAAACCAGAGCAGCGCACGGAAACGCCGTTTACCTTCCCGCTGGAGCAGTACCTATTTATCTACTTGCGCTGGCGTGCTTTCGAACTGCTAGGTTGGCAGGAGCAGGGACCGAGGAACGGGAGCTCACCCCGTCATTGCGGGGATTTGAACCGCCGACCTTCTGATCGGCAAGTCCTGGGCTCTGTGGGACAAATGTAAGGTTCTGCAGTAAGGCAGGAAGAACCAGATGCACAAATATAGGATTGGGAGGGGACACACCTGGCTTACTAGCAGTACATGTGAACAGGATCTGGGGGTCTTGGTGGACCACAAGCTGAACGTGAGCCCACAGGGTGATGTAGCAGCAAAAAAAGTGAATGCTATTCTGGGCTGCAACCACACCTGTCCAGATCAAGGAAAGCAATTGCCCTGCTTTATTATTTTGACCTTGCCAACAAAGGTCTGTACAGTTAAAGCTCTGGTTTTCCCAGTAGTGATGTATGGAAGTGAGAGCTGGACCATAAAGAAGGCTGATCGCCGAAGAATGGATGCTTTTGGATTCTGGTGCTGGAGGAGACTCTTGAGAGTCCCATGGACTGCAAGAAGATCCAACCTCTCCATTCGGAAGGAAATCAGCTCTGAGTGCTCACTGGAAGGACAGATCGTGAAGCTGAGGCTCCAAGACTTTGGCCACCTCAGGAGAAGAGAAGACTCCCTGGAAAAGACCCTGATGTTGGGAAAGATGGAGGGCAGAAGGAGAAGGGGACGACAGAGGACGAGATGGTGGGACAGTGTTCTCAAAGCGACCAGCATGAGTCTGACCAAACTGCGGGAGGCAGTGGAAGACAGGAGGGACTGGCGTGCTCTGGTCCAGGGGGTCACGAAGAGGCGGACACAACTAAACGACTAAACAACAACAAATTATTTTGACATTGCAACACACTGCTTCCAGAGAGCTTTCTGAGTGAGTGTTTTGCAAATGCTTGCATATTGCTCTCACCTAACGTTCAACCCAAATCTACCCTCCTTGTTAACCTAAGCGCATTGTCCATTTCTGCACTAACTTCGAGGTTTTGGGGGTTTTTTTGCAAACTGCCCTAAGGTTTTTCCCATTTGTTTTCCTTTTTACAATTCAGTGGTGCAAAGATCTTACGAATCAGATAAATAGATGCCTTTCGACAGCAGGTTGGCAGGGGAACGGGATAAGTCTTCTTTGATGAATAGAAAATTCAATTTGAAAACAGAAAAATGAAATAAAAGCAAGCCTAAAAAGGATATTTTTTTTTAAAATTAATCCGACAGAGAGGAATTTTTTTTTGTTATTTTAAAATTGCCTTCCTGTGGAATTAGAGGGAGGGTTAAAAAAAAGTATTCGCTGTGTCACCTTTGCGATTGTCCCAGGAACATTTGACTGACAGAAAGGACATGAGAGCATCCTCTTTGATTCAGCAACACAATTCAAGCCCCTCCGTTGGCTCCGGATCAGCACCAAGGAGAGAGGGTGGCGGCTGCACAAAACCTCCATGGACAGGAGCAGTCTACCGGGAAATTGCCAGCAAGCGGCGGAGGAAAACGGGGACACACACACAAACACCAACCTCCAAACCAGAAGCTGTATTTAAATGAGCCAATAAATTTTAAATGCCTTAAAGAATTTAAGGATTTAAAAATGACCATAGCATAGCTTGCAAGCTCGGCCTGCTTATTTTGATCGCGTCCCCTTCTCTCAGTGCATCCCATACTCCTTTCGCAGCACTGCACAAAATTAATTGTGTATGTCGCAAACACAGCTGATGTAAAATGCCCCCCCCCCCGAAATAAAAATTGAATGCAGAACAAAAGATGTTTTGGGAGATGAAATCCCTTGCACAGTATGGGTTATCTGCAGCTAAATCCTATGCAGAGTGGACCCATTAATGGAACGGCACACAGGTCGTCTCCTTTTGTTCCAGTGGGTCTACTCTGAGTATTTGCGCCCCCAAAGGCGAAGGCCGAAAGCCCCAGGAAATTGGAAACAAGTATAGGTTGCGTGTCTGCGGAAGAGAGATGGGCGGATTTTAGCTGGGGGGGGGGAGCTATAGACAAACAAAAATAAAAATCAGACAGAGCAAGGGGTCTTTATCCAAAGCGTTTTTCTGCCGATGGACGAGCGGGAGGGGGCAGTGATGGATTGGTACCTGAAGAAAGCAGATCCCACATGCAGAAAAAAATAAATGCAATTAAATTAAAGCACCTCGCACCTAAATAAAGCAACACACCAGATATGCCCCCCCCCAAATCAAAACGGATCGTTTTAAAATGGCATGTTTCATTTTTATTTTGAAATTGCTCCCCCTCCGTTTTTTTTCTTCCCTTAAACCTTTTCCATCTCTCTTTCCTTCCAGCCTGGAAAAGATGGATGCTTGTATTCTTCCCAGTTTAGGGGGCCACGAGGAGGGGGGGTGCGCAGGCAGAGACAGGCATCAAAGGCTATTTATCTGCGTTATTTTTTATTTTCCTCGGGAATTTCTGCGTGCGTTTCAACCGAAAACCCCAGACTCTGTAAAAGACCAAATTTATTCCCGATTTTAAACACGACAATCGCTTTTAACTGAGCACGAATCTCGGATTGCTTCGAGGAGCAAATCTACCCCTGGCTTTTCATGGCGCACGAATTTCGGGTGCTGAAAGGAGCAGCAAAATCTACGCCTGCTTTTAAGTAGAATCGCTTTTAATCGCGCGCACATCTCGGGTGCTGAAGGAGCAGATCTTTTTGCTGCTTTTAAATATAATATTCGCTTTTAGCCGTGCACGGATCTTGCGCGTTTGAGGCGCGCGCGTCCGGCGGTGCCATTTCTGTGAATGATGGCTTGCCTGCAACGCCATCCCCGACTCCGAGTAGACCCATTGGAACCACGGGGCGAGCTTGGACCTGGGTTTTTCCTCTCTCTTTCTCTCCCTTTGGGGGCAAGGGGTCTACTCGGAGTAGGAGCCTGCGCCGCGCGCCCCTGGGTGGGTTACCTTGGCGCCGGGGGTCTGGAGACGGAGGCTGGGCGCGCAGCGCGCTTGGCAAGCGGAGATATCGCCCAGCTGAGCCGAGAAAGGATCGCCGTCTCCCGGCGGAGGAGAAGACGAAGGAGGCGGCGGAGGAGGAGGAGAAGAAGAAGGAGATGATGATGATGATGAAGGAGAAGAAGAAGCGCCGCCGAGGGCCGCCAGCCCGGCCCGCGGGAGCAGCAGGAAAAGGAGCAGCGCCGCGCCTTCGGCCATCCTGCCCGCCTGCGATGGAGAAGAAGATGGAGAGGCCCGAGGAAGAAGAAGAAGAGGAGGACCGGGAGGAGGAGGAGGAAGGCTGCCGAGGGAGCCCGGAGCGCGCGCAGGAGGAGAAGCGTCGGGGGCGCGCCGGGCGAGCAGCGGAGCAGCCTGGGAGAGAGGGGGGGGGAGGAGGGAAGAGGTGCCGGGGCGCAAGGGAGGGAGGAAGAAATAGGTGCTGGGGCTGGGGGGAAGGAGGAGCAGATAGGTGCCGGGGCTCAAGGGAGGGAGGGAGGAGGAAATAGGTGCCGGGGCTCAAGGGAGGGAGGGAGGAGGAAATAGGTGCCGGGGCTTGAGGAAAGAGGAAATAGGTGCTGGGGCAGGAGGGAAGGAGGAGCAGATAGGTGCCGGAGCTGAAAGGAATGCGGGAGGGAAGAGAAAATAGGTGCTGGGGCTCAAGGGAGGGAGGGGAAAATAGGTGCCGGGGCTTGAGGAAAGAGGATATAGGTGCTTGGGCTGGAGGGAAGGAGGAGCAGATAGGTGCCGGGGCTTGAGGAAAGAGGAAATAGGTGGCGACGCTCAAGTGAGGGAGGAAGAAATAGGTACTGGGGCTTGAGGAAAGAGGAAATAGGTGCTGGGGCTCGATAGAAGGAGGATCAGATAGGTGCCAGGACTCAAGGGAGGGAGGGAGGAGGAAATAGGTGCCGGGGCTCAAGGGAGGGAGAAGTAGGTGCCGGGGCTGAAAGGAATGAGGGAGGGAAGAGGAAATAGGTGCTGGAGCTCAAGGGAGGGAGGAAAGAGGATATAGGTGCCGGGGCTCAAGGGAGGGAGAAGTAGGTGTAGGAGACTCTCTCCACACAGCCCCCCCAATATACCACAGGGCAGCTTCCCCTCTCTTCCTCCAAAAGTCCAACACCATCTCCTTTGTCTGACTAATATTTAGGTGCAAGTTATTCTCTAATGCATTAGGGACGCGGCTGGCGCTGTGGGTTAAACCACAGAGCCTAGGACTTGCTGATCAGAAGGTCGGCGGTTCGAATCCCCGCAATGACGGGGTGAGCTTCCGTTGCTCGGTCCCTGCTCCTGCAAACCTAGCAGTTTGAAAGCACGTCAAAGTGCAAGTAGATAAATAGGTACCACTCTGGCGGGAAGATAAACGGCGTTTCTGTGCGCTGCTCTGGTTCGCCAGAAGCGGCTTAGTCCTGCTGGCCACATGACCCGGAAGCTGTACGCCGGCTCCCTCAGCCAGTAAAGCGAGATGAGCACCGCAACCCCAGAGTCGGCCACAACTGGACCTAATGGCCAGGGGTCCCTTTACCTATTCTCTAATTGAGGAATATGTGGCTGTGCCGTACGGGGATCAAACCTGCAACTTTGGCGCGATTGGCACCAAGCTCTAACCAATAGAGCTGTTTGGAAATAAACAAGGACGCAAACACGTTGGCTCAGAGGCAAAGCTTCTGCCTCGCAGAAGGCAGAAGGGGCTTTCTTTGTTCTCGATTTTAATATAGGAATCCATGTGGATTTTAACGATTCATTAGACGCCACCTCTGATGTTTTATGGCCAACGCAAGATGGGGAGTCAAGGAAAGGTGCCAAACATGCCTCAGGGCGTCGCAACATATGCATCTCAAATTCTAAATCAATCCTTTGCATATTGGGGATGCGTGGTGGAGAATTTTGAGGCAGCCGAGAGAGGAAAGTAATTTTTAAGCTTTTTGATTCTGTATGCATACGTTAACAGCAAGCATCGGTTAACAGCAAGTCTGTCTTGTTGTTGTTTAGTCGTGTCCGCCTCTTCGTGACCCCCTGGACCAGAGCACGCCAGGCCCTCCTGTCTTCCACTGCCTCCCACAGTTTGGTCAGACTCATGCTGGTAGCTTCGAGAACAGTGTCCCACCACCTTGTCCTCTGTCGTCCCCTTCTCCTTGTGCCCTCCATCTTTCCCAACATCAGGGTCTTTTCCAGGGAGTCTTCTCTTCTCATGAGGTGGCCAAAGTACTGGAGCCTCAGCTTGAGGATCTGTCCTTCCAGTCAGCACTCAGGGCTGATTTCCTTCAGAATGGAGAGGTTTGATCTTCTTGCAGTCCATGGGACTCTCAAGAGTCTCCTCCAGCACCACAATTCAAAAGCATCCATTCTTCGGCGATAAGCCTTCTTGATGGTCCAGCTCTCACTTCCGTACATCACTACTGGGAAAACCATAGCTTTCACTATACGGACCTTTGTTGGCAAGGTGATGTCTCTGCTTTCCTTATTGCGGCCAAGTCGTTCCGACGCTCAGTACCATTTTGGCGCTGACAAATGAGACGGTCTGCTTTACTAGTGATGTCATGTGGATGCCAGGTGCCCCGTCGCTTCAACACCCCAGGCGATGATGTCACCGTGCCTGGCTCCCCCATTTTTCACCAGGCCAGTGCCGACAGCTCGGCCGCCCTCATCCGTCTTCCAAGGTGGCGAAAGGCCCGCCCGGGAACGCCATGGCATCATGGCTAAGGAATGTGGCTCGGATCCTGTTCCCCGATCGCGAACATCTGTTTGGCTTGCCAATGGTCCGTGCGAGACGAGGGCAGAAAGCAGCGGGCGCCTTGGCATCCCGCTCCGAATTCTCAGCGGGTGCCCGGCTTGCGAAAACACCAACCAGTGGGGGTCCGGGCTGGCCTCCCGTACTTTTTTGACCACCCTGTTGTCGGGTGGGGGTCTTCTCCCCACCCCACCCCACTGCTTCCATCCCTGGGTCCATCACTCGCTTCCCAAGGAAAGAGGGAGCCGTTAATTTGTAATCACGATCAAAGCATAGCTGTAAACTTACAGATTTGAAAATAAGGGACCAGCAGCCTCGAAAATAAGGGATCAGCAGCCAAAATAAGGATTTTTGCTGTTGTAAAGAGTTACATACATTGGAAGGATTGACAGATGCTGTCAATCCGGCATGAGGCGGTTGTGGCGCGGCCGCTGAAGCGCCGCCCTTCTGCGTCCCTCCCTAACCCTAACCCTAACCCTCTTCCCTCAGGCTGCATCCTCAGCCGCCGCCACCACTGCCGCCTCCGGGCTGGCAGGTGGCGTGGGCGAGAGTCTCTCTTCCTCCCCCCTCTCTCTCGGTTGGGGAAGGGCCGATGGAACTCCTTGCACCAGGACGACGGCTCCAGCGCACGCTCTCTCTCACAGCGGAGGACCCCGAGCCGCTGCTTCCCTCCCGAGCCGGGCGAGCATGAAACCTGTGAAATTTAAGGGACATCATCAATAAGGGACAGCAGCGGCACATGGCGCTGGGATAAGGGAGTTTCCCACCAAATAAGGGACAGTTGACAGCTATGGATCAAAGACATTTTGCAATCGCCTCGTATTTCCCCTCCAGAGCACCTGAGCATTCTTAGATGTGCCATTGTCGTGTTGGGTGAGTATTTAGGGAATCTGCGCCCTGCGCTTCTAGGGTGTATGGGGAAATTATTTATTGAATTTATACAGAGCCTTTTCCCCCAGGCTAAACATTTTGCGAATCCTTGTCCTTTTGTCTATTTACTGTCTTTACTTTCCTTGATTTGAACTATAAAACGGTGGTTTTCTTGAGTCAAAATGAGACTACAGTG